ACAGCTGGCTGAAGACCTCCCCACGCCATGCCAGGGAAGGGGATTGTTTTGACATACTTAATCGCAGTATGAAAAAAAAAATGCATATATTTTCAGAGCATGTTTGCATGTTCACCACAAGTACGTGTGGTTATTGCAGACATTATTCCTTGCAAAACGTTTCTATTTGGTGTTTGAACATCTTACCACTTGTTTTATTGCTAGGAAGGGCGAAACCTATTCATATGTTTTCATACTTTTATACTGGAAAAAAGGTCCCATTTTATACTTAATCGCACTTATCAGTGCGTGGTTCGGGAAACTGGGGGGGCACCTAGGATACCAATATCCATAATATATCACAATCCAAGGTATTACTGTATAGGTTTGTTTGGGGGTTTGATCGCGCAAATATAAATGGATTTAAGACCGAAACAGGATGAGGATTTCTGCACAACTCTGGCCGTCGCCTGATGATGCTGGTTGTAATTACCGGCAAAACGTCGTACTCGAATTGTAAATGTTGTGGGTTTACTCTCCAACACACTAGCGGTGTGCTGAACGAGTAACTAATTGGGCATGTTTTGTTTGCGTGACAAACCTTACTAATTGGCTGTGTCGAGTGGTGGTGGGTTTAACGACACATTTATCCAATCTAACCCAAAAAAACCCTCTTATTATGGGCACCTATGATTCGTTCGGATATCACTCGCGACGGATGTGGCCAGGAATCGAATTGAGGTCACCTGGTTCATAACACAGTGTGCTGTTGTCCCAGCCATGAAATATACCAATGGAGCTGCATGAGAACGCATTCACAAGTGTGTATTATCTGCTATGGCATACGGATCAGAATCATGGACACTGCCAAAATAATGGAACAATATAAAAAAAAGTGCACAATGCATGGAGGAGGTGCAAGCTTGGAGTTATACTGAGAGACAAAAAGAGCAACACATGGATTAGTCAACCATCACACGTTAAAGACTTCACATTGACTGTTAAGAACAGTAAGTGGTATCGGTCAGGATACGTTCATAGAAGGGATGCCGGCGGGCGGTCGAGGGTAATGATGGAGTCGTAGTCGACAAGAAGGATGTGCACCTGAGAACAGGGCCCCATGGACAGGGAGAAAAGAGATACATTCGTGTGCAGGACTTTGTCGGATTGCTGATGAGAAAGAAGATGGTGGCGGCATGTGGAAGTCTTCACCCAGCAGCAGACAGATCATGGCTGCCAATGATGCTATGCAACGTGATGTGAATGCAGTCATATGTAATGACATGCATGAAGTCATGGTTGGAGCGCGGCATGAGTTCGATTCCCGACCACGGATAACATCAGTGGCAAGTCCTATCTGAATTGGTCCTGGGGGACCATACTTTCACAAGCCTGCACTGACCCGTGTGGGGAAGTCTCATCAAACAACTCCCCCGTGACTTGATGTGGCATGGGGAGCCCTTCATCCAGCAGTGGATTGATGGGTTTGCGATTCTTTTTCACATGTAGCCATACACGATGGCATATACACAACCATATACACACAATATCACAAAACAAGCAGTGCTGTATTGCATTACGGTAACTGATCTGAAATTCTACGACTGTACTACGAATTATTTGGTGATTGCTGCTGTTGCGTTGGCAGCAGTGCAGAAAGCAAAAGTAACAAGAAAAATCAACACATTGGTCAATAACAGTGGCACAAAAAATATATAAAACAGCCGACGTTTCGGGCAATGACCCTGTGTTATGAAGGGCCATTGCCCAAAACGTCGCCCGTTTATATACCGTATATAATTATAAGGGCACACAGTCTTGAGTTGTCTTTACGACCGCACACGTAGTTTTTTTTCTTTCAAAAAGGGACCTCACCACCACCACCTCCTCCTTATCCTTCGACACAAGGCAAAGTCGGAGCAGCGCGCGAGGCTGCTGAACCAACGCAGTTCCTGCACTGTATGTAACTTCCAGAGTGAGCGCAAGGCAGTCTTGTCGACGACACCCTGCCGAGTCACGTCCGTGTCGAGACGTCACAATCACCCCCCCATCACCACCTCCTTCTTCCTCCTGCACCCAGTCCTTCGCGGCACAAACAGCCGCGAAGGGGGCAATGTGTGTCGGCGTATGATGCCATCGGCATGAGTCCTGTACAGTCGTGTTTTCTATGTGTGCGTGGGTCCACCCCCACTCCCCCCTTAGGTCGACTCAGCCTCGAATGAGTACCTGGTGTGTAAACGTCGCCACTGGGGAGACAAAGGCGGCCGGGCGTGGTGTTGGCCATTCACTCCATCGTGCTCGCTAAACAGCACTTGCCCGAGCAGTCTGTTAAAGGCTACACGTGCATGTGTAATCTTTGTCTTTGTGTGTATTCGTGTACCGGGGAGCGGTGGTGTGGCGGTTAGCGCGCTGCGCTACGCGACCCGGCGACCCGAGTCAAGATTCTCGCTCACGGACAACACCAAGCGACGATTATTTTTTTAACCGGTCCTGGGTCTCTCCCCTGGGTCGACTCAGCCTCAAACGAGTACCTGGTGCGACGTGTAAACGTCGTCCCGATGACGGTGGCCCCGGGTGAGCCAGGCTTCGAAGCGCCAGTGCGCTGACCACTACGCCCCCGCATCCCCATTACGCATCACTGGCGACATCCACGCACATGCGCACGGAGCGGTGGCGCAGTGGTTAGCGCACCGTGCTCCCGAGTTCCGAGTGATATCAGGACCGGGTGCCGGCTTGAATTGCCCAATCTCGGTCGACTCAGCCTTTAAAAAAAATAGTTTCTCGTTCGGTGTCCGCGTGTGTGGTGCTGGCCACAAGCGGGTCCGTTCGTATGAACTTCTTTTGCACCCTACGCAGCCAAACCGTGCTGATGTGGAGGTGCGGTTGCTCGTCGTTGCGCCCAACATCATGTGGAAGGCTAATGGGGGGAATCTTTGTACGCAGGACTCAAACCCATCACCGCACAAATTTTCGATGTAAAGGTTTCGTGACTGCAGGGATTCATCTTCTTGGTTCTTTCGGTAAAGTCACGTCGAGTGGAAATAAAATAATAAAAATGAAACAATAAAATAAAATTCTCACGACGTTTCGGCCACAACACAAGTTAGCCTTCTTCAGGTGAAGAAACAGGTCTGTCCAGAAGACACCACCACCACACAGATAATTATTGCGCTCGAACCGCACGACATTTCCAAGAGGATCCCAGTTGTATCATCATCCTCATCATCACCATCATCATCATCAGGTCACGCGTGGCCCAACTTCGAACAGGCACGTTTATTTGTATCTTCTCAAAAAGAGAGTGAGCAAGGGGAAGGAGAGAGGAGCGAGGCAGGGAGAGAGGAGGAGAGGACGGGGAGACCAGCGGGGGGGGGGGGGGGGAGAACGAGAGGCAGGGCAGAGAGAAGGAAAATGAGGGGAGATGTAAGGAGGCAAGGGGAGAGAGAAGCGGGAGAGAGAGAGGGGGAGGGAAATATGCAGAGGAAAGCGAGGTAGGGGAGAGAAAGGGGCAAGGGGGGGAGGGCGAGCGTGGAGAGACATGCGAGTGGTGGGGGTTGGGTTGGTGGAGAGAGAGAGAGAAAAGAGAGCCCAGCAGGAACGCGAAGTCCGTGTGTATGGGGAGGTCACTTGGAGGGCACGCGAATGCGTGGAGGCGAAGCGGGGAGGGGAGGGGGACACCAGTGATGGCCGTGGACACGCGGCCATCCCGGGCACACGCAGCGTGCCAACACGAGTCTGCATTGCTGCTGTGGTGCGTGATTGCGGAATCCCCAGGCCTCCCTTGCAAGAGAGAGAGCGATATTTAGCCTGAATGTAGCTCTCACCTGGTTATGCAGATTTGTGTGTGCGCAGCGCTACGAACCCGGCCGCCCGAATTCGATTCGCGCTCACGGCCAACATCAGCGACGATCGTCTGAACCGGTCCTGGGGCTCCCCCCCCCATCCCCCACCCCTCTAAGGCGACGCGACCTCAAACGAGCACGTATCTGGTGCGGTGTGTGAACGCATCGCCACTGGGGAGACAAAGGCGGTCCGGGCGCGATTGCTGGCCACCTCTCCCGCTCCGTGCGCCGCGTCCGGTGTCTTCATTGGCGCTACTCGCTCGCAGCGCTTGCCCCAAAAGTATGTCAAGGCGACACCGGGGCACCTTTGTGGTGACATCGACTCGTTGTACGGGCGCGAGGTGGACTGTGAACATCGTGGAGAGAAGGCGACAACACGTGGGTGAAGGGTTCCTTCATCCGGCAGTGGATTGATCGTGGCTCGCATATATATACATTTACAGCCGCGTCAGTCGTTACAGCTGGACGAAGGCATTTTACCCCACCCCGTGTCGGTCACGAGAGTTGTGGTCATACTTCACCGCGCTGGTCAATGCGGGTTTAAGAAGGGGGAGGGGGGGCGTGCGAACCCAGGATCGGTTCAGACCACTTCGCCACTGATCTTTTCCGCGAATCGTTGACTACTAACGAGACGTGTTCACAGCGCGGTGCGCTAAACCACTGCGCCACCGCTCCACCCTGATATATATTTTGGGTGCTGTGCAGAAACAAAGACGTCACCTATACTGTTAGTGCGAGCGCAAGTGGTAGCACCGATGTCTGCGAGCGGCGCGGTAAGAATTTCGCATGCGCCTTAGCCGCCTTCATCTTCCCCGAGTGCTGATGGTACACGGGGATTTTGGTGATTACATTTTGGGCCGAGTCCACCCACGGGAGACTCACAGACGGTATGCAGAGCAACCCCACGTTGCCTTATAGGCATGGCGCGGTACAGAATAAAGACACTCACTCATGCCTGCCCTGGTAGTTAATTAATTTAGTGGTGGTACAACGCACGTTTATCGGTGTAAAGTGAATGCATTGGGGTTGCTACCTCTTGAGATTCAAATAATCCGCGAGGTATCCCGGGACAAAGAATACTGTATCACACAATAGCAGGAGAGCGAGGGGCTGCACGTGCATGCGTTGACGTGAGCGGTAAATCACAGTACTGTGTATTGCAATGAAAAAAACCGGACATAAAACAAATCCAGGACTTTTAATGTACCGGGGAAAGCTACCTCAAAAATCAAGCAGACAAAATTGAACGTATATGGCAAAGTCATTGGTAGATCCAATAAACAACATCTCTTTGTATTAGTGTATTTTGTGTGTGCAAATGTTCATTTGGTAACACCCATGGCATAGCAAAATCCCAAGTTCCCACGTCTCTGTTCAGAGATGATTTAAATAGATGAGGTCAAAGAGACCTCATCTGATTATGAAGAAAATAATAATAATGTGAGAGTGTGTTGGCAGCAGTGCATAAGCACAAATAAACCCCTCAACATTCCTTAAAAACCTGAAGGAAAATGCTGTAACAAGCGACGTTTTAGGCAATGGCCTTTCTTCATAGGAAATACGTCACCTGTTATATGTGTATGTATATATATTTAATTTTAGGGCAGTTTTATCGACGAAATATTTTTGAGTTTATGAGAATGACGACGGGAAGATCTGGCCGACTATATTGGTGACTGCACGGTCGAACGGGTTCCAATGTATGGGGCCATAGCGCCACCTGATGACTCACGCTGCAAAACTGCAGTCTGGATGTTTTTCTGCTGTGTGTGCGTTCACTCAATTTGGAGGAGCCACCTCAATGAGCCCTGACCATGGGGGTCACACGACCACACAACATTGTCAGTTGCGGGGATATTGCTATGTTCTGTTGATCTGTACTGATCATTTCATTTAATCTATGTGGAGTGAAACTTGCCCGTTCCTAGGTCAAAATAAAGAGTCTTGTAAAGTTTGAGGGATATTGCTGGTAAAAGATAAAGTAGCAGCCCTGAAATTGCTTGCTCGCCTCACTGTTGGTGGAAGGACCTCCGCTGAAAAGATTTATAAGAGCATCTAGCGAGAATGTATGGCCTACAATTTCACGCTAGACAGACGTCTTACAATTGATAGTAATACTGTATGACAAATAAGTTAACCCGCACATTCTGCTTTATCTGGAATGAGTGTACATTAACTATTACATCGAGCTACAGGTAAACAAATACAGCATTTAAAATGGCATTTTCTTGAAAGAAAAATCACCCGAATTTACATTATATATCGACAGGTAACCTGCTCATTGCATACAAATTCATTTACATTCAACATTTGTAAAATCTGCAGTCCTTAAATCATTAGCTCTATGGCTTTTCTGTGCATTTGAGCTGAACCAAAGGCCCTCCACATTTTAAACATTCGCTCAGTAGTAGCCCAGGTTTGTGCAAACAACATCACAATAATTTTAACTTGCAATGCACTGCACCAGCTTCGCTCGCTATCAAAGCCCGAGGACAACTTTGAACCACAGACAAGCGAGAAATGCAGCCGATGCAGTGAGCCGGTGCAAAATTTCCCCCAAGCTCTACCGGTCCTCAATACGTCATGACACACAAAGTGCTTGTCAGCAATGAACCACGACACCTTGCCGATCTGGTCAAGGAGCATAACCCATCACAAGGACTCTGGTCATCCGCACAGCGGATTTTGGCTAACCACCGAACAAAGACGGTCACAGGATCCCGCGCTTGCAGATGCGCTTCTGCGGCCGTCTGGAACGCTCTTCCTTGCAATATTAGGAAGCCACTGGAGCTATGCACTTTTAAATGATCTAGTTTGAAAATGTATTTCTGGCTACGTACGTACGGTGCGGAAGAAGTTCAACATACATGTATACATGTGAAGGAGCGAACGGGGCAACACTATATCCCATACAAATGGAACATTTCGATTCCATATTTGCTGTATCGCCTTCTCCTGACGAGCCAGGATATGTCTCCTCCGCGGTGCCCATGTGAAGGGAGTTTCACAACCATTTGTGCGAGCCACCAACCCTCGCCTGCACAGTGCTGGATTGCAGGTTTGCATAGCCACCATCCCCCAGCTAAGAGAGCACTTAAAGAACCTGTCAACTTCCTGAGATAGGTAAAAGTCCACCAGGACTGCATCCGTGTTTAAAACGCTTAGAACAAAACCCAGAGCGGAAGACTATGGAATAAAAACCAAAAAGCTAAATTCAGAAGCACTGGTAGAGCAAGTGGCGTTGAGGTTACACGTGGGCCCTAAAGCCGCGGTCCCACATCTGTCCGATCGAATTCCTCTCGAAATCGCAAAACTAAATTAAGTCTCCAACTGCTTTGTCCACATCTGAGCAAGGAGTTGCGCAACAACAAAATGAAGCTGGACAGTAAACACCAAATGTGTCACGTGAAATATCTCGCAACAAATCACTGAGTCAATCAATGCCTGAGAGTCCATCGTTTCTATGAGCAACCGGTTGTGCAACTGCTCGCTACTGGTTGCCGAGACGTCCACATACCAGAAATTAAAATTGCCTCCAAGCAAGTTGCGCAAAATTTATCGCTGCAGGTGTGGACCCGACGCCGCCCTCCTTCCCTGCCGCCAGAGGGCCCGGCTACTCCCAGCCTACTCGGAGATAATGGAGCAGATGACAAATATGGATGTGGGAGGGAGGTGACAGGACATTCAAGTAACGATGACACACGTTAAACAAATACGGGGCACGCCAGCATCACACAGCCATTTTTCTGTGCCGATGGTTTTTTTCCTGTTCTCATCGTTTACAGATTTGATTGAACACCATCATTACCAAGCGAGACGATTTCAACTACGGCAAAGGAGATTAATAGTCTGGAAATTTCCACCCCCACAGCCACAACAGGCTTAAGTAGGCACAGAACGCTGTTTCCTCTGCACTCCCTTGGATTAGCCCTTGCCTACTTAATCCCATCGCGATGGTGGAGACGTCTCGAGACTTCCGATGACAAACTCGGCGCGCGACGATCGACGGGACCACCGTCGCTGGCGGTGGCGGCGGTGACGACGTCAAAGCTGGAAGCGCTGCTTGACCTCGTCGGCGATCATGCGGGCGATGGACAGCGAGGAGGTGGCGGCGGGGGAGGGGGCGTTGCGAACGTGCATCACGCGGCTGCCCAGCGACCCCTGACCCCCGTCGAACACGAAGTCGTCCACCAGGTTGCCGTCGCGGTCCAGCGCCTGGGCGCGCACCCCCGACGGGCCCCTGCGGGGAAGAAGCGACGGTTAGCCATCGTGCCGTCACCTGAATCGTCATCACCGTCGTCACCGTCGTCACCGTCATTCCCGCCATCTCGTCACTGTCTTCATTTATTATCAGCATTATATTCGTCGTTTTAATTATCGCCGTGGTAGTCATTCATTGTAATCATTACCATCATCATTATTACCACCAAATGTCATCATCATTACAATCTGAGTCGTCTTAATTTGAATCATCAGAATCTTTGTTTGTCTTGGAGGAATCTGATGAGCTCCGAAGCTCTTTCGTCACGGATTTACAGTCGGGGCAGGTCAGCTGAATTACATCTCCGTCATCTCAATCACCATAGTCATCTTCGTCATCACAAGAATGCCATTTTGTCAATCCACAGCTGCATGAGGGCCTCTCTACGCCGTGTGAGTCGCGGGGGGGTTTTTCGACCATGCTTAACTCGTTGCTGCTGAGCGCTGGTTGGAGTGTCTCACAATCCGGGGAATATAGAAAAAGCAGATGGGGCAATCGTGTCGAATACGGCTGGGTAATTGAGGTTCATTGGCGAAAAACTAGGTCACGACGCTGGCACATATTTGCTATAACCTTGACATTCAACAGCTGTAATTGCAAAGAAAAAATTTACAAATTCAGAAAGCGAAGAGTGGATGCAGGAAAATACACAAAAAGTTATGCATCGGCAATTCTTAATGGTTAACAACGACAAAAACAGCTTGTCTTGTGAATAAGTGTCAATCCACTCACTCGGGTCAATGTTCTAACCGAGTGAGTCAAAGTTCCAACCGAGTGGGTCAGAGCAGTGGGTCAGTGAAGTCAGCCGTGACGCCTTCCTCGTATTGGTCGAAAACCGAGATGAATTCTGGGTTGGAGTGGTGATGCTGCGGTTAGCGAGGCTGCGTTGGCTGGGTCATGCAGCCCGCATGTGCTGCCATCTGCTGTGTACCACAGGTGGCTGAAAGGGATCTCAGGAGCAGTTCTTTGAAATCCGCTTTGTTGAGCGAGGGCTCGCAATGCTCTGCGAGGGATCCGGATGGATACTCGGTCACACGTATGTATGTATGTATGTTGAACTTGTTTCGCACCGTACGTAGCCAACTGTGCATAAATCGGAGGTGCGGGGTGCTAATCAGAGGATCGTGCCATCGGTGATGAGACACCGATGGCACGATCAGGATAAAATTGTATGACAAGTTTACAGAATAAATATATTTTTGCAGCGTACGTACGGACGCATGTCAGAATCAGAATATGTATTTATACTGGAGGAATCCGATGAGCTTCAAAGCTCTTTTTCACAGGTGTCCATGTGTACGCACTTGTGCGAGTCGGAGACACTCACCGTGTTACGTCGGCGAGCGTTATCTCGGGGATGTATCTCTGCAGCAGCTTCACCTGCGATCCGATGAAGATGCTCCGATACATCTCGCTCATCCCCTTCGAGATGTTACGCAGAACCAGCTTCTGCAGTCCCCTGTAACACACGTGGGACGCGGCCAGCGCCCGTGACTTCTCATCTACTGCTTAAGCATAACTGCCAAACGGATAGATCCAAAACCACCTCACAGGCAATTCAAGTGTTTCAGTGTCGGCTGCTGCACTTTCATTCTTGGCGAATCAAGAAAATCGACCCAATCTATGGTGCATTTTTGGCAGTCGTTGATTCTTAATGACCCTTTGTCAATTCATGTGGGTTGTTTGACCACACTTCACCACGAAGCCCATACAGGTCGCCGCACTCAAAGCGCAGCGTGCTAACCACTCCGCCACCGCTCCACCCACACTCTCATTCCACTGCTTTCCAGACATTCATGTCACTACCTTATAGACATTACTGTTTCAGTCAAAGCACAGATACATGTGCAACGCTATTGGAAATCCACCGCCGGATGAGGGCTCACCAAAGCGGTGCGGGTCGTGGGGGTTAGCTGACCATACTTTACCGCGCCAGTTAGCGCGGGGTTGGTGAAGGCAATATATTTTGGGTCGCTGGTAAGACTGGAGCAGTTCTTGTGACAGGCCCGCAGAGCAGCCACATCCATCGCGAGGTGAATACGAAACGTGACGCGCCGGACGCGACAAACATTTTTCCGGGTCGTCCACTCGGACGGACCATGCTGGGACGAAGCCGTGCCCATGGATGTGGGAGGGGGGCGGCACCTAAATAAGATGGCGTCGAGGAAGTCGCGGGCGCTGAAGTCGAGGAGGCGGTAGCCCTCGCGCTTGAATGCCAGCACGGCGTTGGGGCCCAGCCAGATGGTGCCGTCCATCCTCGGGGTGAAGTGCACGCCCAGGAAGGGGAACCTGGGGTCGGGGACCTGCACGGCCGCAATGCAGGGGTAGTGGTGCCCTCCGGGTCACGAGATACTCCAGAGAGTAAGAACGCAACCTCAAAACTTTTGGGGGTCATTTCGCGTTGTGCGTTCTAATAGGGAGGATATGGCACTGGTACGGGGAGAGAGCCACAATCTCCGAGAAGGTGATTGTGAATGTGCAACAGAATGAATGCGTCATTAGCCATGCCCCTGGCCCGACTTGGCCCCGAGCCAGATTCGTGAGGTCAGCGTAGCACGGTTTGGTTTTGGCTCGGCATGGGAAATATCCGACGGAAAACCACTTGTAGCATCAGAGGGTTTCCTCCTTGCTCGGTTAAGCCAGAGGAAACAGAGGAAAAGGGGTAAGAGAGACTGTTGTTAGTTACAAGGTTTGGTATACTTCTCTTGCGCTCTCCCGCGATTAAGAATCTTCATTCATTTTTGTAACGTTATTTGAATTTCCTCTCCGGCCTGCGGAATTCTACGCCCATTCAAATCCTTTTTCCTCAAGTGGTTGCACGAGCAGAGTTGATCAACTCCACAGTTCATCTTTACATGATTGTCAAACCACCAGGTGCCCGCAACGTGCAATGGCTTCGAATCCGCATGAAAATAAAATCTTGGTAATGAAAAGCGGAGTTGAGCAATGTCAATTTACGCGTTTAATAAATCCAAGTTGTGCTGTGTCGTAGCGCTTTACACGCGATGAGCGGCTTACAACGCATCTCATCCAAAGAAATAGAAAGGGCACCCCCAGTGGCAGCTGCCCATGTGTTAGCAGGGGGGGGTGCGTGGCTCACGGGGTAGATGTTGCCCTTGACGAGGTAGGTCTTGTTGGGTTTCAGCACCAGGTAGTCCCCGCGGAACGGCACGATGCGAGGCTCCGAGCTGCAGCCGGAGAGGCGCGACAGACGGTCGGAGTAGAGGCCGCCGCACGTCAGCACGAACCGGCAGCGCACTTCCTCCCCCTGTTGCACACGCGCAAGCAAGAACGCACGCACAAAGACCCCCTGTATAGCCTTAACGGACCGCTGGCTAGGTACGGTGCGAAATAAGTTCAACACACATACGGGGCATGTTCTGTTCTCGAGCACCTATGAAGACCGGCACGGCACACGAGGGGGTGGGTGGATAAGCACCACGCCCGGCCGTCTTTGTCTCCCCAGTGGCGATGTTTACACACCGCACCAGGTACTCATTTCAGGCCGAGTCAACCTTGGCTGCGTCATGTGGTGGAGGTTTCCTAACGTCACAAATTTGGTCTGATCGTTACGTAAGTGGCCTACGCCGAAAATCTATTATGAATCCCAATATTGTGCGGCGAAAAGCTACACATTAAGTTGATGGTATCAATGTTAGAATGAACTCTGACCTTTTTTCCAGTCACCGTGATTGGGTATTCCATTCCTGCAGAAAACAAACAAAATATAACGTTTCGCATCAACGGAACTGGCTGTCAAAATACAACGCAACAAATGCACCGATTAAAATCTATTCTGAAGATACGTGCATCGAATTGCTTGCATCGAATTTCATATGTAAGAATCGCTGATTTACGATTGGCATAGGTTGACACGAATGGGTGAATGCGACCCTTGCAGCCACGAGCGGCCGCTACAATTAGTGCAATGTAAAAAAAGAAATACTTCTGGAAATGAACCTTGACCCTCAATGGATAAAATTCATTGAATCACTACGAGGGGCGGGGGCGTTTGAAGCTTTACACTTCTAACACAAGTGGCGATATACAATTACATACATGCAACCAAATAACATATGACATAGATGATCAGTGTGGTCACGTACGTGACCATTGTGGTCATGTATGTTAAAACAACCCCCACGACCTGCACGGTGTAGGGAAGGCCTTCGTCCAGCAGTGGAATGACACAAGGCTCGAATATAGCGGTCAACTGCCGTGCCGCAGAACTTGGGAGCGCTAAACTACCGATCCGATGGCATCGGCTCATTCGCGGGCGCTCGCCGCATATTCACACCGCATCACCGCGACGGATGGCGACGGGCTTGGGGAGGCCTTCATCCAGCGGTGGATCGGTCAGGGCTGATGTCGATACTGCTGCTGACGACGACGACGACGACGACGATAACGTCGAGCGATTTAAAAAGCACAACGAACAACTCTCGTACCCTCCGCGCCGCCCGCGGCTCCCTCGGCCGTCTCGCGAAACCCGGACACGCAGAAGCCCATGTGGATCTCCCCGCCCATCTCCACGAAGTCGCGGCCGTAGCTGCGGGCGACCTCGGCCCAGTCGACGATCCCGGTGTAGGGCGAGTCCAGGGCTTTGATTCCCTGAGCCGATAAAAACCGCGCGGTCACGGGCGAATGACTCCGAGCCCCGGAATCGAACCTCGACGCTGAACCCCGTGTGGGTAACTTCGCAGGTCGGCCCGGGTTTCGTGCCGGGACGAGGAAAGATGCTTGGACGTCGCGCAGCGGTGGCACGTTTGCCGCTCGTTCCAGCGGGTTTGGGGGTTCGAGTCCAGCGGTTATTACCGCGGGTGTATTCTCCACAAATACCGCCCCGCGGTCTGATTCACGGTGAACGTTAAAGATCCCGTGATGTTGATCGAAAGGGGGTCGGGGCCGTGTGTGGTGACACCCGAATTTCCCTAATTTTAAATAACTACCCGCAAATTACATCACTGGGTGCACGCACACAGCAACATCGCCCCCCGATACTGACAAACTACCGCAGGCCGTGCCTGTGAAACGTAGCGCCTCCGCGATAAGCCTTAGCGCTATGGTAACGTATGGCGCGAGTACAAAACGTGCCGATTAAATTATTTGAATCGGGGCCTTGCTGCAAGAGCCTGGAGGCACGCGGCACGGGCCAGCGAAGGCATCGTAGCCCAGCTGTCGCGGGAACGCAGCGACGGATATGCATTTGAAACTGACCCAGGGAGTGTGACCCAGGAGGCAGGCTCCCCCCTACCTTGCAGTGGGGCTCCCTCTCCCGGATCTCCTGCTCGCCGACCAAGCGCAGGTCGCGCACGTTGTTCTGCAGCCCCCGCGCGTAGAGGTCATCCAGGCGGGGCAGCTCCTCCCGATCGACCGCGACGATCAGCTGAGGAGAAACCAGCGTGCCGCCGCGATCAGAACGCGTATCGTTTTTAGTCGAGGGGTCGGCAATGATAGGATCCATTTTTTTCCACGAAATCGGCAAGGGATAAATAAATACACAGATCGACGTTCGGAGAGCCGCAATGCATGTGAATAACATCACGAAGCGGCGCTTACAAGTGCCACGTGCGGCTCCGCAGTTCCGGTATAAATCGCAACCGAATGAAAGGCACACCGTGTGTTTCTCTGCAGCCTGGCACGCGCGGGCACATCCCCCAGCTGATGCCGAGCCCTGGTTTAGTCGGTCAGCAGGTAGCATGTAACAGGGTAAGGGGTGGGGTACTCTCGCCTCTTCCAAGACATACGGTCGGCATGGAAACGAGGCCCGAATGCCTTCCAGCAGGGCTCTCTAGAGCCCCCTCTAGTGGAGGCGCCGTCTGTCAGCAGTGGTGTGAGCAAGACAGTGCAGGGCCGAACCTTTACACGTACAGCCCCTTTTGTCAATCCACTTCTGCAGCATGGGGGTTATTTGACATCACCACGCTGGTCAGTGTGGTAGGTGAAGGAAGGGAGCAGAGGTACTTTTCAGCTTTTGTTCCATTTCCTTTGTCAATGTCCGTGTTTCAGATCCACGTGTCACACCAGGTGATAGGCACTGATAATATATATTTTATCTTTGAGCAAATTGATACACATTGCTTTTCACTTTACTCATTTCCGTTTTCCAAAATCGGTCTACCTTCGATCCAGCTGTGTCCCTCCGACGCATATCTTGAATCGAGTTCGAGATATTCAGATCCAGCTGTCTCCCTCTGACGGGCGAATCAAATTGTTTTGCACACTTATGCACGACTCCTGTGTTGCTCAAATTTATCTCGAGCCCGACGTGGCAGCCTCCTTTGTTAAAGTTCTTCTCACATTTTTTTTCAGTTCATTCCCATGTGAATTAAAAAAAAAAACTTAAAAAATGCTCATCAATATTCCTTGCCCTAACAGAAGATATACACTCTTTGGGACTTTCGGTAAAGTCACGTAGATAGAATACTAATAAAAAAAATCACGACGTTTTCGATCGCAACACAAGCAATCGTCCTCAGGTGCTGCTGAAGCAGCAGCGTGTTATATAGGCCTGAGATGGGTGCAGCCCACGGGTAAGTGAGCGGGGTTAGAGAAGGAGCATCGCCCACTTACCCTTGTATAACAGGCGACGTTTCGGGCGATGGCCCTTCTTCAAGGCTATTATAATTGCTACGTCATCAACAAAAGGTGACACGATTAATATTTTCTCCGTTCATTTCTCCAGGTCAACTTTAGGAACGTCTTTTAAAGTCGACGGACTCCACTGCAAATGCGCACGCTGATATTCTCTTAGTGCAACGTCAGTGGAGCTGTACTATTTAATTACATCTACCCCGGTCATTAAATCACAATGGAATGAAAGTTACTCTGCAGCCCAGCATGTGCGGGCACATCCCAGCTGACGCCACTGGCTCCAGACGCACGTGCCGAGGCGAACTACCCTCCCCTTGCACCAACTGGATTAACGACTTGCACTGCCAAGCGCTAGGCCGAAACCCAAGCCGCCCACTCTTAGTCGTTTAACTGCCGTGTTGTCTCACTGCACGTACAGTAATAACTCGTTATTGCCGCGGTAATGCCCGATTCAACGATGCGAAGGTGGGCATCATCACAACCGCGCACTCCGCTATTCCCCACGCAGTTATCCGGCGCCACCGCCTCAATATAGAATAATGGTTGTTGCTCTACATCAACAACAGACTTACCAAGCTGTGCTCATAGCGATTCCACCTTTGTAACGAGCGTAGCTGCGTGCACGTGTCATCTTGTGTGGATTTTTAAAGCTCCGTACAGCGAACGCGTTACGTCCGTGAGCCGGCATATAACGATCGCACGCACTGCCACATATCCTATCATCGTTCGTTTCTTTACAGCATACACTGTGCTCCACAAGTGAATGGTGTAACACCCCAACACCTGTGCAAAATGATTTAATTTTGCATTTGACCAGGAGACCTGTGCAAACGCATACGGTATCCGCACGTACGGAGCGATGCATCATTGTGCTCATGTGTTTCTAAAAAGGCCTTGTTAACATCGTCATTAAAACACCCTGATAAGAGTGAATTTTTTTTCCGGATCCGGAAGTGGTTCGTTACAACAAGGTAAGACTGTGTGTGGATATATAAGTGGGGAGTAGTGGAGCAGTGGTTAGCGCGCTGCGCTACGAACCCGGCAACCCGAGTATGATTCCCGCTCACAGACAACGCCAGTTACGACTATCTGAACCAGTCCTGAGCCTCCCTTAGGTCGACTAAGCCTCAAATGAGTAACTGCTACGATGTGTCATCATTTCACGAGGGAGACAAAGGTGGCCGGGCGTGGTGCTGGCCACCCACCCCCTCGCGGGCCGCGCCGGCTTTCATCGCTGCTCGCTAGCAACACTTGCCCCAACAGTCTGCTGAGGCTGTACGGGGAAATCTTTGTATCTTTGTGGTATAGATACACACGTACAGCCCATTTGTCAATCAATTTGTCAACCGACTTTCCATCGGAAGAGGGGATCAGATCGGTGACCCCCCCCCCCCACCTCCGGATGCGCAGCCTTCTCCTGACCTTTCCACAGCGCTTGTAGGGGATGCCCTTCTTGTCACAGTACTCGTAGGCAAGGTCCGCGCCCTGCACGCACAGCTTCGCCTTCAGAGAGCCCGGCTTGTAGTAGATGCCGCTGTGGATCACTCCGCTGTTGTGGCCGCTCTGGTGGCTGGCTGAGCGCACAGACACGTGCAAGAGCGGACGAGGACCTCCCCCTCTGTTAGCGGGCACCTATTGAGGCCGGCATGGTGCTTTTAAGGAGGCACTGAGATAATTTAGATTTTTTTTTGCTGCTATAAATTTCCACGTGATAAGGCACTTTGTTCGGATATAAGTTAATACCTCAGTGGGCTTCACATGGTGAAATAAAAATTAAGTCGATTTTATTTGTATATTTTTAAGTCATTTATTTCCCTTTCCTATCCTTTGCATTCCTATCGTGTTTGTGTATTGTTTGTTGTTGTAACGTTCGTACACGTCCATACTGTACATGTGAAAAAGAGCTTTATAGCTCATCGGATTCCTCCAATATGAATATTCTGATTCGGATGTGGCCAGCACCATGCCCGACCACCTTTGTCTCCCCAGTGCTGATGTTTACAACACTGCACCAGGTACTAATTTAAGGTCGGGTCGATCTAGGGGGTCCCATGACCCAGTGAGATATCCGGCACTTTTATTGATCTCGAGTGGGAATTGAACTCGGGGTCGGCAGGTTTGTAGCACTGCGCATTAACCACTATACTACCACTTCCCATGTACCACACACACACACACAAAGGACAAAGATCCCCGCGTATAACCTTAGCAGACTTTTGGGCCGAGTGCTGTTCTCGAGCAGCTATTAAGGTCGGCACGGTACACAAGGTGGGTGGTCAGCACCACGCCGGGCCACCTTTCTCGACTGAGTGGCGATGTTTACACACCGCCACCGCCAGCGATGGTGGTACTCGTTTCAGGCCAAGCCAACTTGTCGGTGGCCCGGGACCGGTTGAGACAATCGTCACCGGTGTTGGCCGTGAGCGGCAACCTCGGGCTGGTATCGCAGTGCACACACTCGGCCGCGGCCGCGGCCGGGGCCGGATGGCCCTGCGGCTCACCGATAGCTCTCTCCTTCTCCAGGATGACGAAGGAGAGGCTCGGGTGGCGCAGGAGCAGCTCCCGCGCCGACGCCAGCCCCACGATGCCACCGCCGACAACCGCCACGTCGTACGACGCCGGCGTGGCCGTCGCGCACGATGCATCCGCGCCACCGCTGCCGCCCCCACGCGAAGACAAAGGCAGAGGAGTGGGTCGTGCGGGCGAGTCGATCGGCAGGTCGCCAGCGGTGGGGCGATGCGTGGGTACACCCAACCTCTGGCTTAAGACGCCTGGCCACCGTGGAAAAGTAGGCCGACGTACAAAGGGGCTCTCTAGGGCTCCGTCGAGTGCAGGAACTTCTGCCAGAAGTGGTGCCAGCATTGCTGTCGGGGTTAGTGCTGTTGAGCGAGCAGCTATTGAGTCTGGCACGGCACACGAGGCAGTGGTGTGGTCAGCACCACGCCCGGCTGTTTATGTCTACTCAACGCTGATGGTTACACCCGTGCCAGGTACATATTTAAGGTGGAGTTCATCTAGGGGAGGGAAGGCCCGGACCGGTTGAGATATTATCAAAAACCACTTATGTTATCCATGGCTGGGAATTTAATGCAGTGCGCAAACCATTGCACAACAGCCCCTCCCCCCCCACCCATTACATATTAAATAACTTTAAAATATATATATAGGACAGCACAAAAGCTGAAAATAACACAGCATACATATGTTTATACATGAGCCCAGTGGAGCTTGTGACCAAATCACCCAGAATGCGCCAAATCTCATCAGAACTCGGTAGCTAGGCAGGGTTTAGCCTGGATAATGCTTGGATGGGCAACCACAATGCATAACAGGTGTTATAGGCTGCAAAGCTACATCGAGAGCAGTGCAGCCAAATTCCATTTTAGCGCCGTACCTTTATGCCCCCTCATCTACGCTCTCTGCTATTCACCAATCGGAACTGACCAACGTGGTGAAGTATGGTCAATTAACCCACACAACCTGCACGGGGTGGAAGAAGCCCTCATCCAGCAGTGGACTTCCAAAAGCGTTGTACATGTGCGCGAACGCAGTGGTTCATGCTTGTTCTGTACATCAAAACCAAGAGGTCCCTTGACTTCAGCAAACAAGTTTCACGCAACCGCAAGCAACCGATCGCTTGTTAATCTCCATATATATAAAATGCAAAGTTGTGAATATGTGTGTCTGTTCAAAATGTTTAGCATACTTCCCGACATGCAACAAACTTTAAATTTGCCATGTGGGTACTTTCCAGATTTGTACACTGTGCAAAAATTATAAAAATACACTTTTGTTTTTTTTGGGGGGGGGGAGCTCAATAATGCATTGATGTTTTGCACGGCAAGTGAGCTGTGACGTCAAATCTGTCACGTGGCCCTCGCACGTGAAAGCGTAACGCATTGTAGTGTAGAGGTTAGCGCGCTGCGCTACGAACCCGGCGACCCGAGTTCGATTCCTGCTCACGGCCACCACCGGTGACTCAGCCTCAAACGAGTAACTGGTGTGGTGTGTGAACATCGCCACTGGGGAGACAAAGGCGGCCGGGCGTGGTGGATCCAAGTCCCGGGCGAAGCCGGGTAGTACAGCTAGTGTGCTATAAACAAGGGCCATTGCCCTAAAAGTCACCAATTGCAAATAATTGTTTCTTCCTTCAAGGCAGTGTTGTTGATGACGTGGTGGAGCCGGCTTAAGGCTGCTTCGCATGTGTCCATGAGACCGGTCTAAACCAAGGTTCGCATGAAAGTCTGCCTGACTGGTGCAGCGAGTCTTAACTGGACGCCCCAACTGTGGATTTCTGTCTCGACCTGTTTGCCAGGGCGGTCTTGCCCAGGCGAGAACACACACTGGCTTGGCGCATTCAAACAAGCCGCACAAAAATAATATGATAATAAATGTTCCAATAAAGTTTTAAACGCAGATGAGCTATGCGAACTGCGTCTATTAGAAATGTACAATTACTGTACAGTTTTTTTTTACATCACCCAGCAGTACAAATATGTACGCCACTGTAAGTCCATCAGCAGATCGCGTTTGGTGGGGATAAAGTGTGGCAATTCCATCGTCTTCCAAGACGTCTGGCCAGGGTGGAAGAGTAGACCAAATACCACCTAGTAGCTCGCTCGATGCTTTGAGGCGTGAGCAAGCAATTGCAGGGCTGAATTTAACCTTGTAAACTTATAACGCCAACAACCTTTGACCAAATCATCTGGATTACACCTAACGTCAATAGATATGGGAAGCTCAGCGGGATTTTGGACCTAGACATTGATTGCAGCAATAATGATCTTTGTTGGCGTCCTCGAGTCAATGGTGGAAATTCCACATTCCAATGGCAGAAACCAAATCCATCCACAGCACAAACAAGCACTGTCGAAAGTCCTACTCCGCTCACATTTATATTCATGCCATTACGTTGAATATAAAGGAGTACTGCACTGTACTCTGTATCCGAGACCAACCTTCTCTCACAGGGAGCAATTGCGATTCAGCAAAAAAAAGATATGACTCTCATACTTTCAGCAATCCACTGCTGGATGAAGGCCTACTTCACGTCGTGTTCAGCTCACTGCAGGCTGGTAGGACGATGGGAGGGTTGGGTGATTACGGGACCGGTTGAGATATGACTCGCCACCGATGTTAGCCTGTGATCTGGAGAATGCAAATTCAGGATACCTGGTTGTAATGTGGTGCAGTGCGCTCACCGCTGCGCCACCGCTCCACTACGAGTCCGGCCAACCTGCGTTCAAATTCCAGGCCACGGCTCACGAACATCATTAGCAATTCATATCTGAACCAGTCCCGCTCTTCCACTGCGCCCTCGCCAACGTGGTCAAGTGTGGTCAAACGGCTCTCATAATCGACAACACCGCGGAGAGAGTGCTTCGCTGCACCTGTGCCGGGCCCTGGATTCCACCGTCGGCCACCCCCGGGGCACCCGTGCGGGCCCGGACAGCCGCAGGAGTCGCAGCGCCGACGCCATCATCCACCGGCACGAGGCGAGGGGCAAAGCGGCAGGGCTTCGGATCCTAGCGTGGGGACATCACACGCGGGGTGAGGAACGGACAGGTCGAGGCAGACAGGTAGAGGTCACCAGCGACGTGGGTGGATGAGAAGACTGCTTCGCTAACTCGTGTGGCAAATGCGTGGACAGGTGATGAGAATGAGGCTGGTGAACAGGTGAGGTGGTGAGCACGTGAACGGAGAGGTGAAGGCACCTGGGTGAGTGCATAGGATGAGAAGACTGATGAGCTCAGTCACAGGTGAGTGGAGAGGTGAGACACCAACTCTTTCACGGAATGGTCGTGAATGCAGACCACCCCCCTCCCCCACCCCCAGGTGAAAGAGCGTCTGTACGGATTCTCGAGCGAATGGGTGGACAGGTGAGTGGATAGGTGAGTGGCGAGGTGAGGCTATTGATGAGCGCACTGGTGAGAAGACCGGTGAATTGAGAGGTGAGCAAATTAACGGATCGGCGAGTCTAATAAGCTCACATGTGAGCTCGCAGGTGACATCACAGGTGAGTAGGTGACATCACAGGTAAGTCGGTGACATCACAGGTGAGCTCGCAGGTGACATCACAGGTGAGCTCGCAGGTGACATCACAGGTAAGTCGGTGACATCACAGGTGAGCTCGCAGGTGACATCACAGGTGAGCTCGCAGGTGACATCACAGGTGAGCAGAGAGACCAGGAGAGGTGAGTAGACTCGGTGAGAGGTCTTCTCACGTGCGAGCGAGCGAGCTTGCAGGCGAGTAGGTGAACTCGCAGGTGAGCTCACGAATAAGATTATATACTGCGGGCAAGCGGGTGAACTCACAGGTGGTGAGTGGACGAAGTCACGGGTGAACTCACGGGTGAACTCACAGGTGAACTCACGGGTGGTGAGTGGACGAACTCACGGGTGAACTCACGGGTGAACTCACGGGTGGTGAGTGGACGAAGTCACGGGTGAACTCACGGGTGAACTCACAGGTGTTTAGTGGACGAACTCACGGGTGAACTCACAGGTGAACTCACGGGTAGTGAGTGGACGAACTCACGGGTGAACTCACGGGTGAACTCACGGGTGGTGAGTGGACGAAGTCACGGGTGAACTCACTGGTGAACTCACAGGTGTTTAGTGGACGAACTCACGGGTGAACTCACAGGTGGTGAGTGGACGAACTCACGGGTGAACTCACGGGTTAACTCACAGGTGTTTAGTGGACGAACTCACGGGTGAACTCACGGGTGAACTCACGGGTGCTGAGTGGACGAACTCACGGGTGAACTCACGGGTGGTGAGTGGACGAACTCACGGGTGAACTCACGGATGACCTCACGGGTGGTGAGTGGACGAACTCACGGGTGGTGAGTGGACGAACTCACGGGTGAACTCACGGGTGTTGAGTGGACGAACTCACGGGTGAACTCACGGGTGTTGAGTGGACGAACTCACGGATGAACTCACGGGTGTTGAGTGGACGAACTCACGGGTGAACTCACGGGTGTTGAGTGGACGAACTCACGGGTGAACTCACGGGTGTTGAGTGGACGAACTCAGGGGTGAACTCACGGGTGAACTCACGGGTGTTGAGTGGACGAACTCACGGGTGAACTCACGGGTGTTGAGTGGACGAACTCACGGGTGAACTCACGGGTGTTGAGTGGACGAACTCACGGGTGAACTCGTGGTCGGTCTCTCTGCGAGACGCCCTCCGACCACCGAGCCAGCGCGCAAACCACGCGCGCTCACATTCCGTAGACCGCATGCGCCGCGCGGGGCGCTCCCTCCCGCGCGCGATTGGCCGACACCCTCCGCCCCGTCGCGCGCGCCTCGACCAATCAACCGCGCCCGTTGCTTATTCGGACTGGGAAAAAAATTCGTGACGTCGCTAAAATTGGGTCACGCCTCCTACGTTGCGCTCTAAATTTCGAAGTGAGAAGCGCCTCCGGGGCGTCAATGCCATTGCGTCGGCAGGCGAACGTCGCACCCTGGCGGTTCTGAGGGCATCTCATAAACGCGAATGTCGACTCGGTCGTAACGCGATGCGCCAGTACCGAGAAACATTGAGCGATTTGGGAGCTGCGTATTCGCGGTAGTTTGTTTTGGTTGAACGAACGTGCTGTTGTTAATAATTTGACAGATGTGTTCGACTGACTATAAGCTTTACTTGATAATACGGTGATGTGTCTTCTTTTGTTTGGGGTGCGTACATTTTATCTTTGCTTTTGTAAACGCTGAACTCCGCGAGGCGTTGTGACGCTGCTCGTGAGGCGAGCGAACACAAATTGCAAAGTCAAAACCATCCCGTGCGGTCCTGTATGTAATGATAGGCGACGTTTCGGGCGACAGGCCCTTTCTTCCCCTTTCGGCGCTACGAGCGTCGTTCGTGATCTCTCGTCCAGGGTGTTTGACGGGAACAAAACATTCCCATCGGATGGATGTCTCGGTGGTAATCCAACATCGCGACGCGAGACTTGCACGCACACGGTTGATATGTGCTGCGGATGGACTGGCTTCCGCCATGGGAATGTGGAATTTCCGCCGTATCGACAGACGCTCGCCACCACACGTTTTGAGTGGGGGTAACCCGTTTCCGTCAAGCCCACTGGCTGGACGAGGGCATCGCGCACCGTCTGTGTGCGGATCGTGTGGGTTTAAACCAAACGAAACTAGTGCGTACTTTGTTTTTTTACCATGGTAAGGCCCACTGAGCTACGTAGCTCTCTCTTTTTAAATCTACAAGCGACCTGGCCACAAATGATCGCTTAACGGAGTGGCTTATCGTGTGTGGTGGGCACTTACGGCAGCCACATATTTGAAAGGCGCGTTTCTGAATGCGGAGGGGAAAAAACCGGCGGACCCGGAGCAGGCGAGAAAGTTAACACCTCCTGTGTACCAAGCGAGGTAGTTAACATCTCCTTTACACCAGGCGAGGTAGTTAACACCTCCTGTGTACCAGGCGAGGTAGTTAACATCTCCTGTGTATCAGGCGAGGTAGTTAACATCTCCTGTGTCACAGGCGAGGTAGTTAACATCTCCTGTGTACCAGGCGAGGTAGTTAACATCTCCTGTGTACCAGGCGAGGTAGTTAACACCTCATGTGTACCAGGCGAGGTAGTTAACACCTCCTGTGTACCAGGCGAGGTAGTTAACACCTCCTGTGTATCAGGCGAGATAGTTAACATCTCCTGTGTACCAAGCGAGGTAGTTAACACCTCATGTGTACCAGGCGAGGTAGTTAACACCTCCTGTGTACCAGGCGAGGTAGTTAACACCTCATGTGTACTAGGCGAGGTAGTTAACACCTGTGTACCAGGCGAGGTAGTTAACATCTCCTGTGTGCCAGGCGAGGTAGTTAACATCTCCTGTGTGCCAGGCGAGGTAGTTAACATCTCCTGTACACCAGGCGAGGTAGTTAACATCTGTTTACCAGGCGAGGTAGTTAACATCTCCTGTACACCTGGCGAGGTAGTTAACATCTCCTGTGTACCAGGCGAGGTAGTTAACATCTCCTGTGTACCAGGCGAGGTAGTTAACATCTGTGTATCAGGCGAGGTAGTTAACATCTGTGTACCAGGCGAGGTAGTTAACATCTCCTGTGTATCAGGCGAGGTAGTTAACATCTCCTGTACACCAGGCGAGGTAGTTAACACCTGTGTACCAGGTGAGGTAGTTAACATCTCGTGTACCAGGCGAGGTAGTTAACATCTCCTGTGTACCAGGCGAGGTAGTTAACATCTGTGTACCAGACGAGGTAGTTAACATCTCCTGTGTACCAGGCGAGGTAGTTAACACCTGTATACCAGGCGAGTTAGTTAACATCTCCTGTATACCAGGTGAGGTAGTTAACATCTCCTGTGTACCAGGTGAGGTAGTTAACATCTGTACACCAGGTGAGGTAGTTAACATCTCCTGTGTACCAGGCGAGGTAGTTAACATCTGTGTATCAGGCGAGGTAGTTAACATCTCCTGTGTACCAGGCGAGGTAGTTAACATCTCCTGTGTACCAGGCGAGGTAGTTAACATCTCCTGTGTACCAGGCGAGGTAGTTAACATCTCCTGTGTACCAGGCGAGGTAGTTAACATCTCCTGTGTACCAGGCGAGGTAGTTAACATCTCCTGTGTACCAGGCGAGAGAGTTAACATCTCCTGTATACCAGGCGAGGTAGTTAACATCTGTGTACCAGGCGAGGTAGTTAACATCTGTGTACCAGGTGAGGTAGTTAACATCTCCTGTGTACCAGGCGAGGTAGTTAGCATCTCCTGTACACCAGGCGAGGTAGTTCACACCTCCTGTGTACCAGGCGAGGTAGTTAACATCTCCTGTGTATCAGGCGAGGTAGTTAACACCTGTATACCAGGCGAGGTAGTTAACATCTCCTGTGTGCCAGGCGAGGTAGTTAACATCTCCTGTACACCAGGCGAGGTAGTTAACACCTCCTGTGTGCCAGGCGAGGTAGTTAACATGTGTACCAGGCGAGGTAGTTAACATCTCCTGTGTACCAGGCGAGGTAGTTAACATCTCCTGTACACCAGGCGAGGTAGTTAACACCTCCTGTGTGCCAGGCGAGGTAGTTAACATCTGTGTACCAGAGGTAGTTAACATCTCCTGTGTACCAGGCGAGGTAGTTAACATCTCCTGTGTGCCAGGCGAGGTAGTTAACATCTCCTGTGTACCAGGCGAGGTAGTTAACATCTCCTGTGTGCCAGGCGAGGTAGTTAACATATCCTGTATACCAGGCGAGGTAGTTGACATCTCCTGTACACCAGGCGAGGTAGTTAACATCTCCTTTACACCAGGCGAGGTATTTAACATCTCTTGTGTATCAGGTGAGGTAGTTAACATCTCCTGTACACCAGGCGAGGTAGTTAACATCTCCTGTGTACCAGGCGAGGTAGTTAACATCTCCTTTGTACCAGGCGAGGTAGTTAACATCTCCTGTACACCAGGCGAGGTAGTTAACATCTCATGTGTACCAGGCGAGGTAGTTAACATCTGTGTACCAGGCGAGGTAGTTAACATCTCCTGTGTACCGGGCGAGGTAGTTAACATCTCCTGTATACCAGGCGAGGTAGTTAACATCTCCTGTACACCAGGCGAGGTAGTTAACATCTCCTTTACACCAGGCGAGGTAGTTAACATCTCCTGTACACCAGGCGAGGTAGTTAACATCTCCTTTACACCAGGCGAGGTAGTTAACATCTCCTGTACACCAGGCGAGGTAGTTAACATCTCCTGTGTACCAGGCGAGGTAGTTAACATCTGTGTACCAGGCGAGGTAGTTAACATCTCCTGTGTGCCAGGCGAGGTAGTTAACATCTCCTGTGTACCAGGCGAGGTAGTTAACATCTCCTGTGTGCCAGGCGAGGTAGTTAACATATCCTGTATACCAGGCGAGGTAGTTGACATCTCCTGTACACCAGGCGAGGTAGTTAACATCTCCTTTACACCAGGCGAGGTATTTAACATCTCTTGTGTATCAGGTGAGGTAGTTAACATCTCCTGTACACCAGGCGAGGTAGTTAACATCTCCTGTGTACCAGGCGAGGTAGTTAACATCTCCTTTGTACCAGGCGAGGTAGTTAACATCTCCTGTACACCAGGCGAGGTAGTTAACATCTCATGTGTACCAGGCGAGGTAGTTAACATCTGTGTACCAGGCGAGGTAGTTAACATCTCCTGTGTACCGGGCGAGGTAGTTAACATCTCCTGTATACCAGGCGAGGTAGTTAACATCTCCTGTACACCAGGCGAGGTAGTTAACATCTCCTTTACACCAGGCGAGGTAGTTAACATCTCCTGTACACCAGGCGAGGTAGTTAACATCTCCTTTACACCAGGCGAGGTAGTTAACATCTCCTGTACACCAGGCGAGGTAGTTAACATCTCCTGTGTACCAGGCGAGGTAGTTAACATCTGTGTACCAGGCGAGGTAGTTAACATCTCCTGTGTACCAGGCGAGGTAGTTAACATCTCCTGTATACCAGGCAAGGTAGTTAACATCTCCTGTGTACCAGGCGAGGTAGTTAACATCTCATGTATACCAGGCGAGGTAGTTAACATCTCCTGTACACCAGGCGAGGTAGTTAACACCTGTGTACCAGGCGAGGTAGTTAACATCTGTGTATCAGGCGAGGTAGTTAACACCTGTATACCAGGCGAGGTAGTTAACATCTCCTGTGTGCCAGGCGAGGTAGTTAACATCTCCTGTACACCAGGCGAGGTAGTTAACACCTCCTGTGTGCCAGGCGAGGTAGTTAACATCTGTGTAACAGGCGAGGTAGTTAACATCTCCTGTGTACCAGGCGAGGTAGTTAACATCTCCTGTGTGCCAGGCGAGGTAGTTAACATCTCCTGTGTACCAGGCGAGGTAGTTAACATCTCCTGTGTGCCAGGCGAGGTAGTTAACATCTCCTGTGTGCCAGGCGAGGTAGTTAACATCTCCTGTATACCAGGCAAGGTAGTTAACATCTCCTGTACACCAGGCGAGGTAGTTAACGTCTCCTTTACACCAGGCGAGGTAGTTAACATCTCCTGTGTATCAGGCGAGGTAGTTAACATCTCCTGTACACCAGGCGAGGTAGTTAACATCTCCTGTGTACCAGGCGATGTAGTTAACATCTCCTGTGTACCAGGCGAGGTAGTTAACATCTCCTGTACACCAGGCGAGGTAGTTAACATCTCCTGTGTACCAGGCGAGGTAGTTAACATCTCCTGTGTACCAGGCGAGGTAGTTAACATCTCCTGTTTACCAGGCGAGGTAGTTAACATCTCCTGTATACCAGGCAAGGTAGTTAACATCTCCTGTACACCAGGCGAGGTAGTTAACATCTCCTTTACACCAGGCGAGGTAGTTAACATCTCCTGTACACCAGGCGAGGTAGTTAACATCTCTTGTGTACCAGGCGAGGTAGTTAACATCTCCTGTGTACCAGGCGAGGTAGTTAACATATGTATACCAGGCGAGGTAGTTAACATCTCCTGTGTACCAGGCGAGGTAGTTAACATCTCCTGTGTACCAGGCGAGGTAGTTAACATCTCCTGTGTACCAGGCGAGGTAGTTAACATCTCCTGTGTACCAGTCGAGGTAGTTAACATCTCCTGTGTATCAGGCGAGGTAGTTAACATCTCCTGTGTACCAGGCGAGGTAGTTAACATCTCCTGTGTATCAGGCGAGGTAGTTAACATCTCCTGTACACCAGGCGAGGTAGTTAACATCTCCTGTATACCAGGTGAGGTAGTTAACATCTCCTGTATACCAGGCGAGGTAGTTAACATCTCCTGTATACCAGGCGAGGTAGTTAACACCTGTATACCAGGCGAGGTAGTTAACATCTCCTGTGCACCAGGCGAGGTAGTTAACATCTCCTGTATACCAGGCGAGGTAGTTAACATCTCCTGTATACCAGGTGAGGTAGTTAACATCTCCTGTATACCAGGCGAGGTAGTTAACATCTCCTGTATACCAGGCGAGGTAGTTAACATCTCCTGTAAACCAGGCGAGGTAGTTAACATCTCCTGTGTACCAGGCGAGGTAGTTAACATCTGTGTACCAGGCGAGGTAGTTAACATCTCCTGTATACCAGGCGAGGTAGTTAACATCTGTAAACCAGGCGAGGTAGTTAACATCTCCTGTATACCAGGCGAGGTAGTTAACATCTGTGTACCAGGCGAGGTAGTTAACATCTCCTGTATACCAGGCGAGGTAGTTAACATCTCCTGTATACCAGGCGAGGTAGTTAACATCTCCTGTGTACCAGGCGGGGTAGTTAACATCTCCTGTATACCAGGCGAGGTAGTTAACATCTCCTGTGTACCAGGCGAGGTAGTTAACATCTGTGTACCAGGCGAGGTAGTTAACATCTCCTGTATACCAGGCGAGGTAGTTAACATCTGTAAACCAGGCGAGGTAGTTAACATCTCCTGTATACCAGGCGAGGTAGTTAACATCTCCTGTGTACCAGGCGAGGTAGTTAACATCTCCTGTATACCAGGCGAGGTAGTTAACATCTCCTGTATACCAGGCGAGGTAGTTAACATCTCCTGTGTACCAGGCGGGGTAGTTAACATCTCCTGTATACCAGGCGAGGTAGTTAACATCTCCTGTGTACCAGGCGAGGTAGTTAACATCTCGCCACCGCGACGCCCCATACTTCGCCACGTGGGTTGGTGAAGGCGGGCGGGGAGGATGGAATTTGGGAGCATAGCAGTACAGCGGTTCAAGTTGCTGCCCTCTGTCGCACACCACGTATACCCATGGCCATATATTTAAAAGAATCATGGGTTTGTTCTTGTTTAAAAATAAGCGCCCTCCTCCCCTTCTTGTGTCTGTACAGCATTTTACAAATGCAGTCGCATTCACATTTTGATCACGGTTGCGGAGCACAGGGCCAAACGTCTAAAACTCCCAAGCGGCCAAGAACAATCAGCACTATTAAATGTGTTAGTGATATCCTGCTCAAATGAGCATTGAAGCGGTACTAATCTTTGTACAGCCCTGAACCAGCGGTAGAAATTCCTCAATCCTTTGGCACGGATGAGTCTTCAAAGGACTGCTACCATTTGTTTACTTCTCCACAAAGTGGTGCTCGTTTTTATCGGCCCCAGATGAACGATGGGCCGAGTGCACCAACAGCCAATCTTTAATAACAGTTAATAGGTATATTGAATGGTGCAATTTTATACTGGTAGGAACGAAGTTGTAAACTGAGTGTACCAGCCTGCAATAGATTAATGTGTCCGTCCGTCCGTCCCCTTTCAAAAATTCCAATGTTCCTACCAGCCCACCCTGCAGGGACCAGTTAATTACTTGGGGGAAATAGACGATGGGAATGATGTATACAGTTAAATGCAACTTGTGTTGAATTCTATATTGCCACCCTCAGGGCTGCTGGTATGAACGCGATTGCACAGAGATTGGGCTGGGGTCTGCATGCGGCTGGAGCTCGACTACGCCACCCCCTGGCCCCCCTCCCTGACCGCCGTCACCTCTGGGCCTGGCTGAACGCGGTGTTCAACAAGTGAGAGTGGCACCTTCTTCCTGCAACTATGACCCAAGTCGATGACTTCCATCACCAGCCCTGGTCAATCCACTGCCCCCATCTCATGATTCTGCGATGTAATCCGAGTAGTACCTGCACACGAGCTTATTTTGTTCCTATTCTTTGGTTCTTTCGGTAAAGTGATGTCGATGGGAAATAATAAAATAGAAATAATAAAGTGAGTTTTTGTTTTTTATAAAAAAAAGAAGTAATTATTTTTTATTTTCCATCAACGTTACTTTACCGAAAAAACCAAAGAATATGAATTCCTGCACAACTGGTGGAGCCAGGATTTTCAGGTAGAGGGGGCAACCCCTCCAGCAATGAAAAATGATAGGAGTTGTTAGTAAGTGAGGACTTGTCCCTTGCTTTTTATTCGACGCGTGTGCGGCGATGCCGCAGCCATCGATCGAGGGTCGAATTCGAACCGCGTTGTGTGATCGGCATCGCGCTCGCAGAAGGTGAATGCCTTCAGGGAAGTCGTGTACTGTATACGCAACTACGCACAATTCTGTGAGTCACTTATAAACTGCTTTGCCGTTACTTATTACCAATTATTGACTCTAAGACTATTGTCCTATCATCTCATAGAGTCCCTGGCACAATAATATGCTACACAGTGGCAGTGGGGGTCGCAAAATACCAATTTATTACTAATACACCCCAACGATCCGATCAAAATGAGGGATTTCGATCGGATCATTGGGGGGGCACGTGCTACCCCCCCCCCCCCCCCCACTGGCTCCGCCAGTGTTCCTGCAGTCACGAAAGTTTAAAGCAAACATTTATTTTGTTCCGTTTCTTCACAGTGGACATCCTCCCAGACGCGTTTCATTCCTTGGCTGCCACTCGGTCATTTGTTGTTAAACATCGGCCATAATCCTTTCCAGCCATGATGTGCCCTGTCCAGTCCCACTTTTCATAATGGGCATCACCTTGCATTTGTTCTCCGTTTCACGTGCTCCTCTTTGTGTCTCTCAATGTGACGCAAAACGCTGCATAACCACGACCTAGCATTGACCCTGATCTTGGACCTAATCGTGACATGACCATAACTGTAATTTGACATTTACCCAAGTCGTGATTGTAAAATTGTCAAAAAGGTTGAGGTTCCTGGGAGGCAGAAGTATGGCAATGGCTTCTTGAGGTTACCTGTGCTGACATTGGAGTGTTATTCTTGAGCAAGCGTGCGTTTTCTCCAGGTACCTCAGTTGCCGCCTACTTAATAAACACTTATGAATAGTATCGTCAATTATCCCAATGCAAGACTCTCCTGGAGAGTCTGAGTTTCAGTGAGGATTTCCTGGGTAAACAGAATTGTTTTTATTTAGGCAAGAGAGAGGCAGCTCCAGATATTTAGTTTTTTTATATTCCGAGACAAATGATGACGTCACCCTGCTGCTCTATTTAAGACCGGGAGCAAGCGAGGGCTTTACCATTCTGGCTAATTGCCCGATAATGCTGGATGTAATTACCAGCGAAATGTCTTACTCAAACTGTAAATGTTGTGGATTCACTCTTCAACACACCGGTGGGCTAAAGTAGTGAACTATTTGTCCTTTGTCAACGTGACACTTTTTTGCTGATTAGCCGTGTCGGGTGGTGGAGGGTTACGATACATTTATAAATAACGCGATCTAACCCAAAACACCTTTATTATGGACAATCTTCCTATCCCACATCACCATCATCCATCTGTGGTAAGGCTTCACTTGGTTGGTTGCAAATTGAAATCCGAGTTGAAGATAGACTTATTCTGACACCTCTGACGTTTTGCGGGGGAAGTCAACAGTGGTGTTCCTACGGATAGACTGACCCCCACCAGAGAAAGGTGTAGTTTCCACCACTTGCTTCGGGCCGCCTTTGGAGATGAACGCCACCCAACCCCAGTTTGATCAGAGACACACTTTAACTTTGACATTTCCTTGAAAGTGAATGGAAAATCACAGGACGTTTTTAATGCTGTCCAACTCGGGTTGAAAGCGTTAACGCATTGATTGGCTCTGTCCGTCCGTCGTTCTCTGTAGTGGGAGGTCAATATAACTCTCGTAAGGATGATCCAAAATGTGTGACAGTTCAGCATGAAGCTGTTTTGCTGTTAGGGACTTACTCTCGAAGACCGACCTAATTGATAAAAGGGTTGCTCAGAACTTTTCGCCCAAGGCGATGCGGTCACTTGCTTCCCCATGATATCAATACACTGAACGTCATCTCACAATGTCATACACGTGGAGAAAATCGTTCAAGAATCCATGCCGTATGCATGACTTGTCTTCTTCTTGTTCATTTGTTTTCTTGGGTCAGGGTGGATCATGAGCGAATCCTGGAGGCGGGTCCCGACCGCGCCGCCTCCGAGTGGCTCCTGCGGTGTGGCGCTCACGTGCGCTACCGCGACTCGGATCGCTGGCAGCAGGACTACAACGGGCTTCCAACGGGAACGCGTGACCGGTACCGCATCGAAGCCATCAACGCCACCGACTCCTGCATCATGGAGACTGGCTTCGACTACCTGGGTGCGTGCTGCCTCTGCTTTGAATATGGCTCATCATTGTTTTAAAATATATTTGGTCTTTTTTACCACAATTTTAACCTTTGCTATCAGCATCATTGTTGAGACAAAATATCTATTGAGAAGTCTCGCAGGGCAATGCAATAATTTAACTAAAGAATGGCCCATAGAAGCAGATATCACAGCACTACCTCCGAATTCCCGTCATGTGACCCCTAGTTCACACAATAGGGGGCAACACTTCACAAGAGTTCTGCCCCAGAGCTGGAATTTAGCCAGAATTATGTTTTTTGTGAAGTCATTGGTGACCCGAGTTGTCTGTATCTTATTTGTACCGTCTGTCTTGTGTCTTGTCTGTACAGTTCTGTCCCATTCATTCCATCCATTATTCTCAAGAGGGAAAAAATAATTATTCTTAACGCATTGCAAATCACACATTCTAAACAGTCAATTCCCTCCACGTATCGGGTCCATACAAATACGTTCCAAATCGACGAATCGAAACTCAACTATTACCGATAACTGCGAGCACCGTCAAAAGTTTGCAGCGTCGCGTGCCCTCTTTGCTCGCGCAGACGGCCTGCAGCACGTGCAGCAAATCCACCTGGAGCGCTGCGTCTACATCGGCGACTCGACGCTGGAACGCCTGAGCCGCACCGACAGCCTGGTGGCCTCCCTGCACGACCTGCGGGTCGTGTCGTGCGGGAACGTCTCAGACCTCGGGGTCATCTCCCTGCAGGGGCTCCGGTGAGCGTGCTCACACGGGAGGGGGGAGATGCTCGCACTCCCGCGCCGGTCGCAATTCTTTATTAGCCAGGCTGTGCTGGTCGCTTGGATAGGTGGATGCCCTGGGGTTCTTTGGTGAAATGGGCCCTGGCCCCCATGTTGATGCCCTGGGGCTTTTTTTGGTGCTCCTCTGGCTGTCCGTGGTGCTCGATGTTGGTACTGGGCCCGCCATTTGTTTCCGTGTCCCAACCATCCCTTACCCTACTTGCAAACCTAACATTTAATTTGTTCATGTTTTTCTGTGTGTGAATGTGTATTTTTATTTATATTCATTGGGTTGTAATAGATTCTGGTGGTTCCTATCACCACTAGAGGTGCTACTATTCGTCATAACACTTAAAAATATATATATTTTTAGTGAAATTGTGACCCTGATTTGTGACAGTTGAATTGAAAAGGTGGTGGATGACTCCACTCCTAGAGTAGGGCATCATGGTACAGTTGCGATGGTGTTACCATTCATGTGGTTGTGTTGTATGAACGATGACACATGCGTATGAGGTGCGCACGTTTGAGGACCGAGTATTGCTTTTTCTGCACAAAGATATTTCGTACCATACTACTCTCTCTCTCTCTCGGACTCCCTTGCAAAGAGACCTTTGTCTCATCGGGCTCTCAAATAGTTAAGTATAAAGGTCATGCATTTATGCACGTATTGAATGTTCAGCGAAAGGGAAGAAAACAGTGCCTCTTTATTTCGTGCACCAGGAACCTGCAGACCCTGCTGCTGAGAGACCTCCCTGCTGTGAAAAACAAAGACAGCACCCTGGAGACACTGCAAAAGTCCCTGCCAGCCTGCGTCATCACCGTCGACCTGCCCTGACTCTCCTTTTAAGCGTTGTTTGGATTAGCCATCGTTAGGGGTCGCCCAACAGCCGCTTCTCAAGCAAGACAGAGGAGCGTGCCAGAACCGTGGCAAGGTACGGTGGGTGATGGGGAGGTTAGGGGCTCGTGACTTGGCAGCAGTAGTTGATCGAAAACCGTGTTCCTTTTGCGTGTCGAGACGTTGAGAATTACAAATGAGGTGTGCAGCAAAACGATTGAGAAATGTGGAGCTTATATGGTAAAAGAGCAGCAGCATGGATTAGCTGGTACAGGGATTGCTTAGCTGGACATGTGGTCGACTAATAATTATCTGCACTTTATACCCGACTGATTAAACGGCTCGGACCCTGGCTCTTCTACGATCGTCACTTTACACGCTCCAGTTCGCATTATTCATAAATCCGTCAGCGACGTAAACTTGCAATGCTCTCATGAGTTTTGGTTGATCACCCGGTGCGATCTGTTTGCGTGGAAAATGTATGGGCGCAGCTGGAGATAAAATGAGCTAAGGTTGTGAAACGCGCAGTGTGTGTTTAGAAGCATTGGAAGTAAATTAATGTGCAGGGCGTGTTTTACACAAATAGACGGGTGCGTCCAAGTCATTTGTGTCAGCACTGTCATAAACTGCATTGATTTTTTGGGGTACAAGTTAACCTTGGGAGCTTACGCCACTGCACTGGTTCCATTTAGGCCCATCCATATTGCAAGTTACTTTTGAGTTGAAACTTTGGCAGTGCCGGTTGAAAACATTTTAAAACTCACAGCGTTATAGATTTTTCAAAAAGAGACAATATAAAATAAGCTAGGCCAGCAGGAGACATGATACAAAAGATATATTAAATGCAGACCTGATTCCGACAAAAATAATGAGAGTCGAACAAATTACCATCAGTGACAAAAATAGCGGAAGAAGCTGAAGAAATTCATCCAGCCTCATCGCCAGCTGCCACGTGGAGACGGAAGAGAAGAGGAGATATCGACAGAGGAATATCGTCTTCTGGCATCCATGAACTAGTAGCTCGACATCTGCTTCACAGTTGACCTGTCCATTTGTGGATACCGAATAACAAAAATCTATGATAAAAAAACACAATTTTAAAGAAGTGAGATTCAACATAAGTACATGATGTTAAACTTGACTTTTATTGCAGTTGCTTTCCTAAGCATACAATGTGATTGTCTCACGATCTAATCAACGATAATTGCTTTAAATTGGGCATGGGGGGGGGGGAATTCTACATCTGGAGCTTTTAAATGAAGTGAAATGCGAGAGTGTAGCTGCGTAATTGCGTAGCAAATGCTTCGACTCTTGCCCCACTAAACATCACCGTTGATCTTGTAACAATCCACCACGTTTGTTGCATAAAAAAAAGCGTCGGCTTTTGTTCACCAATCTAGCTAAAGCTAAGAGACTGCCGCTTAATGAGGCACTGCGCGGATGATTTATGACGTCTGCCGCGGCGTTTTCGTAATGCGTGAACCGGGATTTGCAATCACGGGTAAAACCCCGAGCTGTTGTCAATTTAGCGGGCGGCACGACTGAATTGATACGGTTATTGCACAGAAACTACCGCGTGTAGAAGCCGCCGAGAACACTCTTCACTTGGATCTAAATGAGACGATGCAGCGTCGCATCTCGCTTTCTAATTGCGACGGCTGATGATGGGCAACGACTGGCGACCTGCAAGAACAAAAAAACGAAGCTCAAACTTGCAGCAGTAAAAAAAAAAGACCCATCTATCCAATTCCCAATAGCAGCCGCTGTGTTGCAACTGTTCGCTGTTGCAATGCTCCTGTGCGTGTGCGTCTCCAAATGGGAAGGGAACTCGAACTCGTGTCTCGGTTATCTGGGTGAGAGCGACGATGGGGGGGGGGGGGGGGGTGGGCAGCACGCTGCGGAAATTCAAGTTAGGCCAAAAACACACGTGCCTACGCTCGTGCTGCAGAGCGAAATGTGCGCGGCACACGTGCGACACACGCGTGCTGCGCATTTGTAAAAGGCGCAGCACGCTCACCCATAAATCCGTCTCGGTAACTCCTACGAAAGGAGGACTTCAACCCAAAGCGGACAAAACAACTCTGGTCGACACACCTAGGCAGTGTGGTCCCGGGCTCTCCTACACGAGGTTGAAGGTAAGATAATTGTGAGTGATAGAAATACAAGACTTAAGTGCCTTTTGGTACAATCTACTGCTGGATGAGGGGCTCCCTATGCCGTAGGGGGCCGTGCCAGTTATTTGATCGTACATCACCGTGCCAGGGAGTGCGGGTTGGTGGAGGCGCGGACCATCTTAAGAGCAGTAACAATGCATTCTGTCATTCTTCCCTCTCGATGTTCAAAACGTAGCCCCGCAGCAGCCTACAACACCTGACATGCATGGCGGTTACCCATCCAAAGCACGGTCCGACATCAACTCCGGTTAGCTGTCCGATGACATCGGGAGCATTCCGGGTGATTTGGTCAGGGGGTGCACCTCAGCCATAATATCATTAATGTCACGATAGTGACATTTAAAAGGTACGGCAGTCTCACTGCAGTGGTAAATTTAGAAAGCTTAAACGGTGTTCCAAAACGTCACTTTAAAGTGTTTTTCTTTTCTCATCAATGAAACTTCAAGCTTGAAACACACAGCCCGGGACACGCAGCATAGGTCCGTATCCACAAGAACGTCAGCCATTGGGTTTGTTGCATCTCTTATCATCGCTACACTACGCTTGCATCTAAGGGCGATCTCGCTTTTCCTTCGAGTGGGCACCGAATGTGTTCCCACCAGGTGGCCACCCTTCCCGCTCCCCTAGGTTTACAGCCTCGCGCAACAGCGAGGGACAGGAAAGCGTTGGCGATGAGAGTTTGGGTGGGGAAGGGGGTGGTGGGGGGCACCAGCTGCTGGAGGGTAGAGGGGCTCCACCCCCCCAAACCCCCCCCCGCTCGTTCACGGGCCGGCATTGTGCGTGGGCGGCTCGCTGGGGGCCGGCATCTTCACGTGGGACGGCTTCACGCCCCAGATGTCGTGCGCGTAGTCGGTGATGGTGCGGTCGCTCGAGAACTTGCCCGAGGCGGCGATGTTCAGGATCACCTTCTTGGCCCACTCCACGGGATTCTGAGCGGGCACGGCGTGGGCACAAGAACAGCGGGCGCTTAGTACGAGTACCCCCCCCCTCATGCCCTCCCCCCCCCCCCCCGAGAGGGGCACTTTATTGCATTAAATAAGTAAAAAAAGGTGCAGGCCTGCAAGTGCTTGCTCGAGTCACTGTTGGTGGTGGAAGGTTCCTCCACAAGAGAGAGCTCGAGGTCTACTCTTCTATGCTGGCCAGACAACTTGGAAGAGGTGGGAGTAGCCACACTTTACCCCACCACGTGATCTGAGTGTGGTGGGGGTATAGAACGTCCCACATAACCACAGAACTACCTAAAATTCCTTCCAGCGACCTCTGCTCGACACAGCAGGGGGCACTAGTTTCCCCACTGGCACTGATGCGTTTTGAGTCTCGAGCTATAATTAAGCCGAATTGAGTGCGCAATTACATTTTAGGCGACGAGTTTATGATGAGTGTGGACGCAGTTAATCGGGCCAAGTATCAATTTTAACCACGGGCGATGAAACGAGCAAAATGTTCGAACCAAGGATATCGGTGGTGTCGGCTCTGCGCTCCGATCTCCGAGGGCATCATGAGTCTCAAATACATTGGCATGGGGGAATCCCTCCAGGTACTGGTGTGTCAGCTTGTTTGTAACTTTGGAAAAACAATCCAACAATAACCAGAAAAAAATCCATCATGAACAGAACAATCGTGGAGTTGTCTCACCACAGTTCTCTATCACTTCATTACCGCTGCCTGTCAGCCCGTCACATTTCCTCACATACATTTTGACGGTGACCTAAGACAAGAGGACCACGGTGCACTTCTTTAGGAAATTATGTTTTGTTGCAATAAGGAGCAAATGCTTATTTGTGCTTCTTACACACGTTTTTTTTGTTATTCTCTTGTTTGAAATTCAGAGCCGTGCGAGCACTCACCCTGTAGAGCTCGCTGACCTTCTCCTGGCACTTCGCATAATCCTCGTAGTCCGCGAACACCTTGAACCTAGCGCGATTCACAAACAGCGTTGAGGAAACCTCGAAAGATCTACGCCTGAATCCTGCCGACGCGCAGGCTTCATCACGGCGCACAGTATTATTTGTTTGCTTAATTGTTGTTAACAGTCGCTCCCATTCAAAACTATGTACGGCAGTAAATGTTTTTAAAATCTTAATTAATATTAGATTAGATGGCGTCCAGTATTCATCGTTTCGAAAACTACAAGGTGCCAATTGCAGTCAAGTGCCAGCTCAGATCTTTAGACACCAAGAGCCTACTGTGCTCTGTCCAGTGGACATGGCCTGGTTTTTAAGAGCACACTTTACATTTGTTCTGCATTATCCTTTTTTTGTTTTATCCGGGCCACCGCTCCGTCTATTACTCTGGATACATCGAGGGTTGGGACGAGCAGCCGATTTAAAACGGACTACTTTTTTTTCGTCAATTACTCGGATCCATTTAAAAATGGCGCCCACCCTCCCGCCACCACCACATCCTTCCTCCCGAAAGTGGGAAACCCCCCCCCCACAAGCCACGCTCAGCACGACGCGACCGACAATGTCGTCACCAAAATCCGCCCACCGCCTCCATTCCAGTGGCACATGCAAAAACAAGGAAGCGAGATTTATTTTCCTTTTTTTTTTACCACCCAATAATTTTCACGATTCCTTCCGATTAGTCGAGCAATCGAACCCGACGTTTTGTACGGCAAACGATTACTTCGGAAAACAGGTGAAACGTGGCTCTTAAATCGCGAGTGGACTCTCGAAACCCGCGTCGTCCTGATGCCGTGCAGAAGTTGCCAAGGGCAGCACCTGTCGTGGTGCATGAGCATGTTGACGATGTCCTTGAAAAGGTCCGGCTGCTTCGGGGAGAAGAATCCGCTGCTGATCTGATCCATGACGACTCTAAGCTCGGGGATCTTGTCGTAGTACTCCTGAGCGTTGTAGCTGAGTGGGGCGGAGAGGGTGGAGCGTGGGGCAGGGGTGGGGGACGACACAATTTAGGAAAATCCGACGACCTGGTTCTATGGCCGATGGTTATAGGAGGCGCCATGAAGCCTCCAGTTTGATGGAGGGGGATACATTGTCGGAAATATATCATTACCCCCTCAAGGTAAAATCTCGAATGTCAAGTTGTCCACAACTTTGAGCTGTAAGTGGTTATGCAATTGCATCCTCATCGAAATAACCTTCATTAGGGCACACTTGTTCATTGGCACATTCCCACCCTCCAATGTCTTCCTGTAACTACCGCCACTGACAAGCCTTTGGCTGTTGTTGTCCTGGTAACAGAGCTGCGTTGGCTCAATGGACCTTGCCGGCTGAAATAAAGTCTGAGTCGCATAACCAGCTACAGCTTACCATTGACTTCTAAGATGCACAAAACCGACCGCATTAAATTTGTCGTTTTGCAACAAATATTACTGCCCGTTAGCAGAGGATTTGGAAAAGTGCTGCCCACTCAGTGAGCTTGTGGTGAAAAATTGTCACTGGAAGGGATCTCGGAAGTAGTTCTGCGATGTCCCCTTCCGCCGGCCGTTGTCGAACGCCCAGAGTGCGCGTGACATCGGCGGCAAGGCTCAGGCCGCGACCGAGGAAAGCCGACCCGGTACCTCCTGAACTGGCTCGTCATGGCTTGGCATGGCTCGGCATGGCTCAGATGTATTAGTGGAAATAAGGTATGACCGGGGTTAAACTAAACTATTTTAATTTTACAAGGTAAGGCCCACAGTTCTTTTTGAGAAGCCACCTGGCCACAAACGATAACTCAACAAAAGTGGCGTATCGCTTGGAAATGTTTGGCAGCCAAATACTCTAAAAGCACGTTGATTCTAAAAGGTGCGAGGGAAAAAACCGGAGGACCCGGAGAAAAATTCCACGCACCCATGGAGAGAGAGAGAGACACGCAAACTGCAAATATACAGGCGATGGGGGTTGGCCATTGAACCCACGACCTGGATACCAGGCGAGGCAGGTAACATCTCGCCACCGTGGGGGGGTTCGTCAAACGAAAACTACAGAACGGCGGCGACGGTATCCCCTCCCGGTGCCGTCGGTCACTTGTGACCCCGCCCCCCCTCACCCCTTCACGCTGAGCGCTTCCACCTCGTCGACGCGCAAGCCGAAGATGAAGAGGTTCTCCTCGCCCGCCTCCTCCGCCATCTCCACGTTGGCGCCGTCCATGGTGCCGATGGTGAGCGCTCCGTTCAGCATGAACTTCATGTTGCCCGTGCCAGACGCCTCCGTGCCGGCCGTGGAGATCTGCTCCGAGAGGTCCGACGCCGGGATCACTGCGCGCACACAAACACAGACACGCAGGCAAAGATTCCCCACCCCATACAGCCGTTGACAGCCTGTTGTGTCGGAGGTCTACATGGGTAGTGAATTGATAAAAGGGTTGTAACACCATCACAGACAATGTATTGTAGTCACTGCTGGTTGTGTCGAAAGGGCACGACAGGGCAATGATTGCAGGCAAGATGCACGCGCTATAATAGGTATCCAGAGACAGGAAATACAGAGATCCCCCCCCCCCCGTATAGCCTAACAAGATTGTTGGGGCAAGTGATGTTAGCGAGCACCTACGGAGGCCGGCACGGCACACGAGAGGGTGGCTGGCCAGCACCACGCCCGTCTGCATTTGCCTTCCCAACGCCGATGTTTACACATTCGTACCAGGCACTCATTTTAGGCACAGTCGAACGAGGGCAGGCCCCAAGCTGATTCAGATAATTGCCGCTGATGTTTGCCATGGCTGGCAATCAAACCGGTCTGCCGGGTTCATAGCGCACCAGAGTTGAAACACAAATACCAATACCCACCATTCGCAGCTTTGTGACAGTGGACGTCACCATGGCGGCTGTGCCAGGCCAGGTGCTATTTTGAGGCCAGGTGCTATTTTGAGGCCAGGTGCTATTTTGAGGCCACGTGAAGTGTCAAAGGCTCGCTGACAGGTCACGGGACAGACCCACGCACGCACGCACGCACGCACACACACCAAACGCAGGCGCGCAAAATGCACGCGTGCACTTGTGTGGGGGCGGCCTGTGACGCGTGGATACGTTGAAATTAATCTCAACGAGGACGTCACGTGTTCTGCCAGCTGGTCCAGCGGAGAGCGCTGGCCCTTGCTCACCTTTCTCTGCCAGGGACACCCGGTAGTTCTCCAGGAAAATAACCTTCAGCCTGTCCCCCACAACCGCATCGTTGTTTACGATGTCCCCGACTGCGGTGAAGAGTTTTATGATCATCTTGGCCATGTGGTATCCTGGAGCCGCCTGTTGACGGGGCAGGTTGGTTGGAAACAACGTGAGAGAGAGCGATGTGTGTGTGTACAAAGTCAGCTTTGATCGAGGTGCGCAGCATCTTGACTTAAAGCTTTCGTGACTGCAGGAACTCATTCTTTGGATCTTTTGGTAAAGTCACATAGATAGGTTCAAAGAAAATAACAAAAACTACGTTTCGATCGCAACACAAGCGGTCCCCCTTCTCCTGATGACGACCGCTTGTGTTGCGATCAAAACATCGTAGTTTTTGGTTATTTTCTTTTAACCTATGTGACTTTACCGAAAGACCCCAAGAATATGTGCGCAGTATCATCGGCGCTAAGGCTGCCTGGAGCTGTTTTCCATATGCTGGCAGGTGAGCAAAAAAAAACCTGTCACCAAAATCGAAATCTTCAGAAACATACCCCTCATCAACGTTTACACCAGAATGACAATTCGTCAACGATGACTGAAAGCTGGAGATGCGGTGACGCAGTGAGTTAGCGTGCTACACTATCAATTGGGAAAGCCCAGTTCGATTCCCAGCCACTGCTGACATCAGCGCTGGGCAATAACTTAACCAGTCCTGGACACCCCCTTTCACGAACCCATATTGACCAGCAGCATGGTGAAGTGTGGTCAAACCACCCTCATGCCCGGCAATGTGTAGGGGGAGGCCATAATCCAGCTGTGGATTGATACGGGGCTGTACATTAAAATTGACTCATTTAAGAAGTGCGTAAGTGAACCGATACATCTTGCAGTTGTCACGGGAAGTTGTTTCAAAAAACAATAATAGCAATATGAGAATAGCACAATACATTTTTATTACGTTGCAGCGATTAGGTTACGTGACGCTAACACGGCTTCTCTTCTGCATTTGTTCACCTGAAGTAGCCCCTCAATGGGGCTCAAGACATTTTCTCGGGAGGGTCCAGCAGAAATTTGGATGCTTGGACCAACTCCATTTCAATAACATTTGTGTGTTTGTGAGGAAGCCAGAGTGCCCAGCGAAACCCCCACGTATATAAGATGAGCGTTCAACCACTCCAAAGGTTCACAACACACAGAGTGGGTTCGCAGCTCACAAAACCAACTTTCCGCAACGCCGTCTTTCTGGCTGCGTACAACACTGCCCCTGGTGGGTGTGGGAGTTTCACACACGCGCGCGTGCGTGTGTGTGTGTGTGCGTGATCCTCGCCTCCACAAACACTGGACTGACAGTCGAGGACCACCACGCGCAGACGTACCTTCCCACCGATGATGATGGTTCTTGGGACGATGGATTTGCTCGGTGCATTTTTAATCCCTGGACACAAAGAGGGCGCGCACGCACCACACGTTTCACCATGTACGTATGTTAAACTGCTTTCGCACCGTACATAGCCAACCGTGCTAATCGGAGGTGCGGGGGGAGGACTAACTAAACACAAAAAGCAGCTCGAAAGAAATTAATTTGAAATCAAGTATTAAGGGTGCATGTAGCGCCAGTGGCTTCGTAATTGTAACCATCAGTTACACAGGAAGGAGACAAAGATCCCTCGCGTAGCTCTTAACGGCCTGTTGGGGCAGGTGCTGACAGTGAGCAACCTATGAAGGCTGACACGGCACACGAGGTGGGTAGAAGGCCAGCACCACGCCCGGCCACCACCTTTGCGTCCCTAGTGGCGACGTATTTACACACCGCACCAGTTACTCATTTGAGGCCGAGTTGACCTAGAGGAGGCCCAGAATCGGTGCAAAGAATTGCCACTGGTATTGGCCATGAGCGGCGAAGCAAACTCGGGTCACCGGGTTTTGAGCGCAGCAAGCCCAGCGCTGTGCCACCATTTCCACACAACGCACAAGCACACACGCACCAAACATAAGCTGGAGCTTATTGGTCACCAGATACCATCGGGCCAGATGTTCGACATCTGTTGCCGGTGCTGCACACGAAAATTATTTCAAACGCCGCCTGTTATCGTAAGCGCTGGGCATGAAAACGATGCGTCGGTTCGCATCAATTCAAATTTATTTTCGTGCTCGTGATACAAATGGTGCGGGTGAGAATTGACTGCGTACAATTTGTGCAAATTACATGCCGATGATATGCTCTTGTTACATGTAGGCTAATGGCGCATATAAACACAGACACACGGGACAGATTGTGTATACCTAGGGCAGCTGTTGCTTCCAGCGGACTGGAGGCAAAATTATTCCAAACAAAGAGATGGATAAGAGTAGCAGGTTGGACTGATTTTGAATGAAAGCAACAAACCAATGTGTCTGAGAGTAGAAAGTTGTTAATCGGTGTACATTTCCTGCTACGACACATGGATCCGAATCATGGACATTCATGAAAAATATTGACCAAAAACCCGAAAGTGTGTAAAGAAGCCCAAGAAAGATGCGTGCTTTGAATTACATGGAGAGAAGGAAGAAAGCGCGCAAGGATTACAGAAACATACACCAGGTGAATTCCATCATTCTAACTGTGCACTTGGACAGGACACGTTGCAAGAAGGGATGATGGTTTTGAGGATGATGACCGAGTGGCAGCCAAGGAATGGAACACGCCGAAGAGCACATCCATAGAGGAGATGGAGCAATAAGCTCTCAACTTGTACATAGGCACGAGGTGGATTATTACATCGCAGGATAGTGAGAGGACGGGGGCAGCTTGGGGAGGCCTTCATCCGGCAGTTGATTGTCCATGGCTGCTGATGACGATGATGGTGGCGAGGAGCGATGTCAAGTTATTATTACATTTGTTTACCCAGGAAAGCCTCACTGAGTCTCGTGGCAATTTTGCACGAGGGCGCTACCAAGTTTTCGCAGTTGGTGGGGGGGGCTACAATCGCTCCCCGTGCGTGATCCCAAATTGACTAATTCGCTGGCAATGGAATCATTTGGCGGGACCCCGGGGTCCCGCCAAAATCAAGTCAATAATTATAATTATTTTTCAGTCCGCCCCACTCGTGATCCCGCCAGCAACGCGCCGCCCGCCCAGACTCTTGCCAACAAGCGCCAGCAGCAGCAGGCGGCGATCGACACGATGGGCGCCACCCCAAACGCAAGCCCCGGGGGGCGTCCGCCGCAGTCACGCGCGGTGACGACGACGCCCTCCGGTCAGCCGTCGATCCTCAGCTTCTTTGCCAAGGCGAGCCCGCCGCCCCCCAGGCAGTGAATTTAACGTGTTTATGTAATGTTTCAACTTTTTACGAAACTTAGTGCCCGAGTAGCTCTCGACGAGGCCAATCTATTGACGCTAGTTTTGTTGTCGGTAAGGCAAGACTCGTGTCGCTACGCGGTTTTTCCCACCCCAGGGCAGTGATGGGACCCCGGGGTCCCGCCAATTGCTTCAATCGATCAAATGTGGCTAATTTGGACGCCGGCGCACAAAGCCCCGCTCTTGCGAAAGACGTCACGAGGCCACGAACGGCCGCTACGCGCAGAAGATGGCGCACGTAGCATTTTTTTTTACGGGTTAACGGAACCCGCAACATTAACTGCGATCGTCCGCAACAAGCGTTCGCCGCCGGGACGCGTCTCCCCTCTGCGGAGGGCACTGTCGTCATCGGCGTCGTCAACGGCGTCGTCAACGGCGTCGTCAACGGCGTCGTCAACGGCGTCGTCCCACCGTCGCGTGCGCTCGCACGCTCTCCGTCGCGTCGCGCCCTCCCCATCGAGCGGCGTGCCGCGGACGGCCCGAAGTCTCACGGTTGTAGAGAGCGATGACGTGCAGGCAGTTGAGCAGCTGCCGCTTGTACTCGTGGATCCTCTTGACGTGGACGTCGAAGATCGAGTCCGTGTTAATGTGCACGCCGTGATTAGCCTCCAGGTACGCCGCGAACTTCACCTTGTTCTCCTGAAACGCGGTGGGTGGGGTGGGGGGCATGACGGGGGACGGGAGGTGGGAAGGAATCGCCGAGCGAACGAGGAGTGGAATAGTTTAGGATATGGCAGTGACGCTCGTCGGGATAGCGACGACAGCAACAGCTTTAACATTGAGCACATTTTTCGGTCACCCTGCGATCAAAGTGGTGGACAAATGCAAATATCAACCAAAAAAAACGGATACATTCCGTCAATGCCGCATAGCACAAGTGCCATTTAGAAGGGACATAGCTAGAAATGTCGCCTACTATAATTTTTTTCTCCTTTCAAATCATCTCACCTGCTTAACCTGAAGGATATCCCGGATGAGCCGGGGGTCATTGACAAACGCCTCCAGATTTCTCAACTGTCCGAGGTCCTTGATGAAGTCTTCGCCAATGCGCTGATGAAAAAATACAAATGACAAAACATTCCATCGCAAGTCCACCGAGCGAGCTTCCAGTCACACAACTGCCATCTCAAACCAACGTTCCACCACCAAGGAACATTAGCATATAATCGCCGTCTAATTTGCATTCTAAAACGGTCTAAACTATTTTAATTTTACCAGGTAAGACTCACTACCAGGTAAGAGCTGTATAGCTCTTTTTCAGAAGCGACCTGGCCACAAATGATAAGCTCAACGAAGTGGCTTATCACGTGGAAATTGATAGTTTCCAAATACATTACTCTAAACGCATTTTAATTCTAAATGTGGAGGGTAAAATCGGAGGACCCAGAGAAAAAATAAAGTGACCACAGGGAGAGGCACATGCAAACCCCAAATATACAAGAGTCGGGATCGAACCCATGAGCTCCTGCATATCAGGCGAGGGAGTTAACACCTCGCCACCGCGGTCGATGCTTAAATGAGCAATTCTAGGCAAGCGTCGCAAGCAAAACAGTTTGTGCATCATCACTTGCCTAAAGACAGGTCATTCATATTCATGATTTTTATTATCGCGCTCTTTTCCCAGGAAATCCTCATCCAAGTCCCAAGACTCTTTTAGGAAAATCCTGCCAAGCTATCGTAGTGGGGAGGAGGGGGGGGGGACGTTGCTGCTGTGTGCAATCCCGATTGAGTAATTTGCAGGGATTTTTTCAGCATTGGGATGTATGGCGAAGAGCAGTTGCATTGAGTGCTCTCTTAGCTTTGGGAGGACACCGAAGAACCCGGAGGGAACCCACGCAGAAAATTCGGGAGAACATACAAACTCCACATACGAAAAGGCACCCAAGTCGGGAATCGAACACAGGCCCCTTTCATTGCTGTGAGGCGTGAGTGTCACCCCACTGCGCTACCCTGCCACAAATAGAGGTGAGAAATGGGAGAGACTGGAAATAAAGTAGAAGAAACAGGCTGAGAGGGAGAGAGAGAGAAAGAGCGAGTGAGAGAAAGAAAGGAGCCGCCGTGAAGAGGCCGGGCGTGGATCTGTGGGGACGGGAAGACGGGGCGGAGACCGAGACGCTCACCTCTGCGATGGCGTCGGCGAGGCTGGGGTTGCACATGACGAGCCAGCGCCGCGGAGTGATCCCGTTCGTTTTGTTCTGGAACTTGTCCGGCTCCATCTCGTAGAAATCCTTAAATCTGAACATTTTCAACACACCGGCCATACGAGTATGAACGCGTTGACTTTTTTTCTTTTACCAGAGAAGACTCGTCGAGTCTCTAGACCACACGCGAGCTTGTGTGTGTGTGCGTGTGGTGTAGGAGGCAGGATGACAAGTTGGAGGCAGTCGCCCTCCAGCAACGGTTAAGGGTGGAGGAGCGACGCTCGCAACAACGAGCAGAGCACTGGGCGGCTAAAGAAGCATCCAGTTGGTACAGTGGACAGCGCAGGCGGTGCATCAGCCAGGCACCTCAGTGAGTTAACCCGCAGCACCTGGGTCTGCCTCATCACCTGCCACAGCGAGCCTTGCGACACTTCCATGCGAAAGCGTCGCGAGTGCACCTGGCCTGGCACAAGCGCGGTGGCGAAGTCTCCGGCGCTCAGCGGCGGCCGCTGCCGTCGTCGTCGCGCGAGCGAGCGGGCGAGCGAGCGACGCTCACATGGACTGCTTTATGATGTCGGAGTGGATGCGAGCGACGCCGTTGACGGCGTGCGAGCCCACGATGCACAGGTGCGCCATGTTGACGCGCTTCTCGCCGCTCTCCTCGATGAGCGACATGCGGCCCATGCGCTCCATGTCGCCAGGGTAGAGCGCGCACACCCTCTGCGGCCACGTCGGGGAGACACGGGGAGGGTGGGGGACACGGGCGGACACGTCGGTAATGGGGACGCGTGCGCACGGGGACACGGGACGCGAGGACGCGGGAACACGGGGACACGGGGGACACGGGGGACACGGGGGACACGGGGATACACAGAGACATCAGGACGTGGGCACACGGGGGCCATCACGGTATGCAGACATGGATGCACAGGGATACGGGACACGGGGACACGGGGAGAGGCGGATATGAGATTACATGGGAACACGGGAGACATGAAGATACGAGGACACGATAATAGGAAGATGCAGGGATGCAGAGTCTTCGGGATACAGACAGTGGCATACACAGTCACAGACACACGGGGGCGATGGTGACTCGGGGTCACTGGGGGACAGAGGAACACGAAGCGGGAGTCGCTTTCAAGACGGGTGTTGGCGGCTCCGAGCGCAGTACCTCCAGGTGCTTCATGTTGATCTCATAGATGATTTCGAGATGCCGCGGCAGGAGGTTCTCCATGAGATGGACGGGCCAGCGCTCGAGCGCCTCGGGAAGCACCGTGTGGTTGGTGTACGCGCACGTGCGCACCGTGATGTTCCACGCCTGCTAGGGCGCACACCGCGAAGGTGGCAATAACATTTTTTTTTTTTTTAAACAGGTAGGGCCCATTGAGCTGTATAGCTGTTTTTCAGAAGCGACCTGGCTACAAATGATAGCTAAATTAAGTGGCTTATCGTGTGGACATTTAAAAGCAGCCAAATAGTCTAAATGAATGGTGATGATAAATGTGGAGGGAAAAACCGGAGGACCCGGAGAAAATTCCACGCGTCCATGGGGAGACCATGAAAACTCAAAATGTACAGGCGTCAGGGTCTGGATCGAACCCACGACCTCCTGCATACATCTCTCCACCGTGGCACCAACAACAACCGCCATTCACCACTGGGTGGCGGGGACTTCACCACGGTGCTTGTGCCAGGCTACGTCCACTTTAATGCCACGATAAGGCCACGTGAAGTGTGTGCTCAGGACGGGTGCGGGGGGCTGGTAACCCCTCCACCCTCAACCTAAGGACCACTACGTGGTAAAAAAAATCTAACCTTGGCACCCCACACACACACGCACAGGCTCGCACACACGCGCATGATTGGCATCTGGGCGTGGGCCTCGGTGGATTACAGGTCAGAGCCCTGAGCAGGCACCGCTGAGATGCTGGGTTAGAACCTGAGGCGAGCACTGCCCCGCGATCAGAAAAATAAAAACCCTCGACACATCTGTCAAGAGTGCTGCCTTGAAGAGAAAAGTGTATACAAGGCAGCGCTATTGACGAATGTGTTGAGTAATGGTTGTTATTCGTGCTCGGTGCACCGCTGATAACGCAGCACCACCAAATAATTTGAGGTCACTTTGAAGGGATTCTCAGCATCCCGAGTTTAACTGTTTGCGATTGGACGGAATCGATCACGTGCAGCTACATTTTTACTTAAAACTCATTCACTGCGTCCCGAGCGTTTCGATTCGCCAAATATGTAAACTAGGTTCGTTTACATGTGGTCAGTTAATGGTGTCAGCTCGGTCACCCAATGACTCCACAAACAAACAAGAAAATAACTCCAGAGGGCAGCACCTTCCCACCCACCATGCTACACAGCACCGTTGGTAGCGTGACATTCAAACTGATGCATTCTCAAAAGGCAGGAGTTTAGTCAAATCAGGTTACAGAACCAATATCGATACGAAGGTCATGGTTGACTGTGCAGTCACTGGTGACTGGGCTGACACCATAAAATTCACTCCACTTGGCTTAAATCACAAACGGCTACCGAGATTTTAACCCAGGTTCTCGGCTGTGCCTTTAAACTACGGACGACGAATACTCAAGATTATTCAATAGGTGGTGTTTGGCCAGTGGCCGAGACAAATAACCAGAGTGGTAGCTGCAGGAGAGGTGCTTGAGACGACATCTGCTTGTCAGCAGGCACTTTGCGGATTGTTACAGTGATGGGCCTGGGCAAGGCCAACATCAAGCAGTGGATCGATCATGGCTGATGATGACTATGATGGCGGGTAGCTGATACAGACTCATGATGATGGATGTTTGTTTCACGGGCAAACGAGTGTTGGTGTTGGCGAGGGCGACCGTGGGCGAAATAGAAATGCGGGGTGGGGGGGCCTCCTCGCCTTATCCCAGTCCAGCTTCTCCACATCCAAAAACACTCGCATCAACTCCGGGATGACCAGCGACGGGTGCGTGTCGTTCAGCTGGATGGCGACCTGCGGTACACGTGGAAACATTTTTCGGCGAGAGTCAGAACACGGTCGAGTCTCGATCGTCCGGGTTGGTGAATCACGCACACACATTCGCGATATTCCCTCCCTACCTGTGGGTGTCGAGGTCACCATCTCCTGGCTTATGGTCAAGGTATGATAAGGAGCAGAGCAAGTTGATTAATTTCCATCTGTACAAGGATTGAGAGTCGCTCCCCCACGCTCGCATGCGTTTTCTCCGGGTGCTCCGGTTTCCCTCCACATCTATAAACACCGATTCGTGGGGTTGGCCAAACAACCCAGGGCTCCAACGCCAACCACGCTACATAGACTCACAGAGGCCCGTAGACTTTCACAGGCTAACATAGAACCTAAAGACTAACATCTGACCCATAGACTGACATCGGACCCAGTGGCTTAACGATCGAGTGTACAGACGGTTGAAACTGCACTGGGTGCTCATCGGCCAGAAGGTGTTAGAGGCGCCAGGCTATGAAGAGTCAGGGGGGGTGATATCAGACAGGGGGGGCCCATGTCATTCCTTGTACCAGGCCCCTAGCCAACGACGCTCCGGCCACTGTGGTGCACGCAGCAAGGTTCCGACGCGATGATGCAGCTGCGTCCTGTAGGTCTAGCCATCGAACAAATAACGGTCACCGCATCGCGCGGCGCTTTCGGACGCACTTCTGCGTCAGTCTGGAACGCTCTTCCTTCCGATATTAGGAAGCCACTGGGAGCGATGCACTGTTAAATCATCGTCTAGATTGAAAACTAATTCCGTGGACAACCACTTCGTGCGTTTAATTTGTCGTCCTTCCCCCGCAGCTCTGATTAGCACCGTTTTCTTTACGTATGGTGCGAAATAAGTTTAACAGACAAATACACAATGTGTGTATGGTTCAAATGGGGTTGAAGAGCACAGGGCCCTAACTCTGCGTGCAATGCAAAGTCGCAAGTTCAGCACGCGGTGGGGGGGGGGGGGGTGTGGGGGTCAGGCCACGCAGTGGCGATTGCCTTGTCTGGGAAGGCGTCGAACGTCGTCCTGGTTCCGGATTTGCACGCCTTGTAGCGGCGGATGATGTCCTGTAGCGTCGCTGCCACCACAAAGTACTCCTGCTTCAGCCGCAGCTCCTTGCCCTCGAAGAACTGCGGTCGGGGGAAGAAAAAAAAAATGGAGGGATTTTAAATCAACCCTTTTGTCCCTTTACCGTTAAGGCTTTCACAAGCAATGGACTTGCGATCCAGAGTGCCACCACGATTTGGTCGCCTCTGCCAGGCGGCGTGGCACTTGAAACAATGGGGAGTGAGGTTCTGAAAATCCCTCCTCCCCCCAGCGTCTCTATCCAACCGGCAGCAGAGGTAAAACGGGTCGGGGCACGGTTGGTCGATTGAGCGGCAGGTCCACGTGCGGTTGGGGTAAATTGTGGGACACACCAACCTCTTCAGAGACGTTTGGCCAGCGTGAAAGAGTCGTAGGTCAGCCGCCTTCATTTGAGCGGGAAATCACTTTGACTTTTAAATTTGACCTCTATTATTGTAATTTTGAGATGTTGCAATACAATTCAATTTACGTGTTTATAGCGGCATCTAGATGCAACCGTATATCCAGATGCTTCAGAGTGGGGGGGGCGGGACGAAATGTGTTCTACGTCATGTAAACACAAATGGGGGGGGGGGGTCTTAAGTGTTGACTCCAACAAGAGCAGCAGCAGCAGCAGCAGCGTCTCAACCACACAGACATCAGGAGCAGAAGCCGAGAAACGAAACTAAACTGATAAAACTACTTTTTTTTACTTAACCAGTTAAGGCGGCCCGCTCTAAGCGGTGTTTTTTTCTTTTCAGAAGCGATCTGGCCACAAATGACAGCTCAACAAAGTGGATTATCACGTGGAAATGTATAGCAGCCATGTACTCTAAACGCACATTTCTAAATGTGGAGAGTACACCCAGAGGACCCAGAGAAAATTCCACGCGACCACGGGAAAAGACGCACGCAAATTCTAAATATACTGCAGCAGGCGCCAGGGTCGGGATCGAACCCACGACCTCCTGCATACCAGGCGAGGTAGTTAACATCTCCTAGCCACCATGATGATGATGAGAGAGAGAGACACGCAAATTCTAAATATACTGCAGCAGGCGCCAGGGTCGGGATCGAACCCACGACCTCCTGCATACCAGGCGAGGTAGTTAACATCTCCTAGCCACCATGATGATGATGAGAGAGAGACACGCAAATTCTAAATATACTGCAGCAGGCGCCAGGGTCGGGATCGAACCCACGACCTCCTGCATACCAGGCGAGGGCGATAACATCTCGCCACTTGCAGCACCCCTGGAGAAGGAGCGGCCTCTCACGAATGTTGACACCGTGGGCCTCTGCGAGGAGGCCTCCATACGTACGTTGTCGTTGGGGTAGAGCACGCGGGAGATGTTCTCAGCGAGATTACGGTCGAGCACGGCCTGGATGTAGTCCCCGACGTTGACTGCGGTGCGGCGAGAGAAACGAGAGGGCAGCAGGCAGCTCGGTCGGTCAGTTTGTGTTTAGTTTGGTTGTCCTTCCCTCCCCATCCCGCACCTCCGATTTATGCACGGTTGGCTACGTACGGTGCGAAAGAAGTTCAGCATACATACATTTCGGGGAAAGGCACAATGGGTACGCTGGACAACGCGGCCGGTATGATTTGAAGTGACGGGCGGGCACGCACTCGCAGAGCTGGGCAGCACGTTCGTGTAAAAATCACAAAACAAATTGAAAATAGCTTTGCACCTGCTCCACAGCTTCCGGGGCACTTTATTTGGCATAGTGAGTGCAATGATTATGTTCCAAACCATAATTAAAAAGCCCGAGTGAAGTAGTCAACTTTTTTGTTTTTCTTTTAATTACAAGAAGTGTGGGGGCCTAATTGAGAATAAGTGAACGGGACTTTTGGTCTTTCTTGACAACAGAGTTGTGGAACAGCTTACCTAGAAATACTATTAAGAGAGTAGTCGCAATCATGGTATGAATTTATTTTATTTATTCTATCCTTTGTTTCTGAACATCGTATTTGGGTTTGCAATCACTTCCTCTGGTGCCTCAAGTACTCTATGGGAGGTGTGGTATAGAAACTGTATGTATGTTGTATGTGTGTAAAACGTCTTTCGCACCGTACGTAGCCAACCGTGCTTATCGGAGGTGCGGGGGAAAGACGACAAACTAAACACTAAATTACTATTAACAAATGGGGGGGGGGGGGGGGGGGTGGGGGGGAGAAAGAAAGGTTGGAGGGGGGAGAAGAGTTCTATTTCACAGTTAGACAAGCATCGCTACGCTTGTCTTGAGGATATGTACCGAGGCGGTGTGTTCCGAACTGTTGGGCATCAGTTTAGAACTTTTTTTCACGACAATAAAAAAGAGACAAGCTTATCTTAGTGATTATATTTTTTGCGACTTACAGCCATCACCAAGTGATGTCATTTCCGCGTCAAGTACGGCAGTTACACCGCAGTACAAAAAAATATATATATATCGCTAAACTGCCCTTGAAAATAAGTTGGAAAAAAAAAATGTTTCGTTATTAAATCTTTCATGAAATGCTTGTTAGGTAAACACAAGACACATACAGCTGAGATGTGCATTTACAAGAGGTGTTTCATTTATGGGCCGTGTGTTCTTTTGAATCCGTGGCGTGAATATGCAAAAGAGAACAGACGTCTCAGAATCATATTTTTGTAGTGGCATTCATCTTGCAGCAGATTGTTTCTGGCTAAAGTCGACGGTGATGAATTTTATGTTGTAACATACTTTCGTTGGCAAAGCAAATTATAATTATCAAATCATAATCATCATTGTCGTTATCTTCCAGCAGTCAGAAAAATTAATACCACCTGGTGAAAAGTCAATAGTTACTCTATGGAGAGACCAGTCCCAGCCATAAAAATGTGGAATTTCCACCACTTCCTCTGGAACAGAAACAGGGGTAAGCACCAGCGCAGCGTTCACTTGAGCACGGGAAAACTCTGACTTTTAAATAAATCTTGCGTGTGACATTTGCCGTTAAATATTGAAATCCGGCCACAACCAAGGAGGGCCCTTTGGTGAAAGTGCCGAGGCTCATTTGTATTCCGAATTTGTATTCCAAATGAGCCAAAAATCACCGCTGAAAAGGCCAGATGATTCAAGGAGTTGTCAGGTCTAAGGGCCGGACAGACGGAATATTTGCCCATCACCAGGCTGGTGATCATTCCACTAAAGATGTCCTGCAGTCAGTGCCCTTGGCAGGAAGGACATTTAGGCGTAACTTGCTGATCCCGTTGCCCGACTAAGCAGCCTGTTCCAAGTGACCAATGCGATTACGGTAATTCAATTTGCCACCGAATAAAAAGCATCCAATCAAAATATCTCCGCTGCGAGAAGACATCGGGAAAGACTACGCTGTCACGGCACGGCTATCTAACTTACAAGTATAAACCCTAATCCTATTGTCAATCCACTGCTTGATGAGGGCCTCCCCACGCCGTGTGGGCCGTGGTGATTATCTCAGCACGCTTCACCACTCTGGCGAGCGCTGGTTGCCAAAGGTGGTACCTAGCACTCATAATCCTGAGCTCACGCTCCGACGCCAAAACGGGCAGGGAGCACAGATGCAGGACCAAAAACATATCGCACAACGATGGACTTTGTTTGTGCCGACTCTGCTGCTCACAACGTAACGGCTACGGATAGAAGCCTGAAACACCACGCGGCTAAACATCGACGTAAACAAGTTTAATAGCTCCAATAAGGGGCAGGGCAGTGGAGCAAGAGGTAATGCGGAACGACCCTTGTTGACCTCCGACCCGCGCCAAACCCTGCAACATACCGGACAGAAGCCAATCATTGCCTCTGATGCTGACCCGGGCCCCATCACTTTTTACCCCCCCGGCCCCCCAATCCAACCGCACCAATGACCCCTCGTCCCCCCCCACCCCCATCCCCCGCCCCCCGACGACCTCCGACCTTTAGCGGTGCCTCGCTTCTATTTCCCGGCAAAATTACAGCCAGTGACAAGTTTATCCCTTGGCCTTGTCAATCGTCCTTGCGGAACAAAACTGCGAGCCTTGGGAGATAAAAAAAATGAAAGGTTAATCGGCTCTTGTGCTGCTTTGTCCGGCTCGCCGTCAGAAATGGCACCCCGTGCTGCATTTTTAATACCCCTGCTATTGGTATCGCACGTTTATTTGATTTTTTATTTGTGAACTTTGCTTGGCTGCAGCACTGCTTAGGTAATTGCTGCACACGATGCGATGAATAAATGAAAATATTTAGCCGCTCCATTCCCTAATGCTTGCCGGGACTGGAGGCTGTCCTTCCAGGGCCAAACTGCCGCAGGGCATTCATCTACGTGTGCCTTATTTTGAAGTTACCGCACGAAAGAATAATCGCATTTAATTAATTAGATAATAATTTATATATTACGGTCTAGTACCCAATAAATCAAAATGTTCCCAATCGCATCAGATCTCGCAAGCCAAGCAAGGTTTGACCCACACGACTCCAGCGACGGATTGACAAAAAGGGGACTGTGTACACACGCATGAAGAATTCCCGTGCAGCTTTGGATGGCAACGCGAAATCCACATCGAGTATCGTTTTCGCTTACAGCTATTGCGTCGGAGATGTTTTTATTTGCTTCTATTTTGGGCTCAATGGAACAAACTGTTGCGGGGCGTTTTTAGCAATCTGGAGGCATTTAAGGCCTTATTACATTTCCTGCTGGTAATGGGATCGCAGCAGATTCGACGCAAGTCAATGGGGAAATGTGTGCACGACGCGGAGCGGCAACGCGTGGGGAGGAAGAGGAGGCGGGGGTGGGAGCGGGCTTGGGGATCCTTGATATCAACAACGTTGTGCAAACATTGCATCACGGCAAAGCAAAGCGGGGTTGCTTGTGCGGGAGAATTGTGATGATGGGCCGTGGAAGGTGGATGAGCATGGGGCAGCGGGGCAAGGAGAGAGGGGAATTTGTTGAGTAGAAGAAAATGTGCAGGGGATGACAAGGGGAGTGATATGACTGGGAAAATGAATTCAGAAGAAAGGGAGAGCAGACATCCAAGCAGACAAGCAGGGCAGGCAAGGCAGGCATGATGAATGGACAGACGGAGAAATTGACATATAGATGGACGGAGACACAGACAGGCAGGCCAATATGCAGATAGATTGACAAATGGAGAGACAGAGAGACTGACAAATCAACAGACAAGCAAGCAGGCAGACAGACAGAAACAGGAAGGCAGACAGGACAGAGGGATTTGCAAACAGATCAACAGGAAGGCAGGCAGGACTGATTAATGGACAGAGAGACAGGCAGATAGGCAGCCAGAAGCAAAGATAATGACAAATATAGAGTCAGACGAGCATGGATGGATGGCAGGCAGATGGGCAAGGAAGCGGGGCAGAGCTGTCAGGCCCAGCTGGAGGGTGGCAGACGGAAGAGAAGCACAAAAACAGGCAGAAATGTGAAGAAAAAAAGTTGAGGCGCTGCGAGACAAAGGAAGTGGCAGTGATTACAAAAGAGACAACGGTGGGAGAGAGAGAGAACAAAAGAAGGGGATTAACAGGGACAGACCGACGGAGAGAGGGAAGGAAGAATAAATAAGAATATCGGAAGATAAAGAAGTGTGTCACCGGAAAAGCTGAAGAGAATGGAACTCACGGTGTTGAGTGACGATGCATCGATTCAAAAACGGATTCCTGCGCTCACGACCCGTGCATCTTATCTGTATGCCAGCTACAGCGGTGTGGCAAGGGTGATTTTGCGAACTGCGCGATGAACCTGGCACCCTGGGTTCGATTCCCAACCACGGCCAAAATCAGAGGCCGATGCCCAAACTGGTCCCGGGGCTCCCCATTAAGCCGCCCGCACTGACGATAATGGGGAAGTATGGTCAAACAATTCCCATTATCCACCTGGTGTAGGTAGAGGCGGCCATCAAAGCAGAAGGCTGACAAAAATGTGATTAATGTTGGATGTGCCTGTAGCTTCGTTTGTGAATGTGTTCTGTGATCGAACTGGATGTTTATCTGCCAGAGGCGATTTGAGCCGCAGGGATTTACATTTTTAGTTTTCATTTACCGTTGATTTATGTTTGGGCAATGCGTTCGGCTCCTCGTGTGGTGCACCGTTTTTGTTTTCGTCCCGTTTGCCGTTTTCTGTTTAACTCATCGCTGCGTGTTATTGTTTGTTTTTCCTGTTGTTATTTTGTAAACCAGAGCCATCTTGGCCTCTTAAGTTCTCACCTGGTGAAGAAAAATGTAAATGTAACATTACATGACTCTGTACAGCGTATTGAGATGTGGTTGCATCTAGACACTACGGAGATCCAAATAGTTAATTATTATTTTATATGCTACATGTAATCTCTTTACATAATCCCTGCCACTGCTAGAGATGATCTATTCACTGCAATGGTAATAAAACAAGACTCAATTATTTAACTGAATCATGTACACTTCAGACATTTTGGTGAATCCGCCAAGCCATGTGGATCATGGCAGTTATCCGACCATACTTCACCACGCCGGTCAATGCGAGTTGGTGAAGGTGGGGGAGCATGGACATTGGATCATCGAAGCCACAGCACAACAATGGATTGATTTTTCTGCATTGCCCTCCGAGTCAAATCGTGACCGTGAAAGAGATCGCAAGGGGGCGGAGGGAGGGAGGGAGGGAGGGGCAATCAATTGATGCCTAGAAAGCACAGGTGGTGTGACAATGTGGCACGGAAAGAAACGAGAACAGGAAGACGGTGTGTCCGAGCGAGCGAGCGAGCGAGCGGGCGAGCGGGTGGGTGGGTGGAGGAGGTGACAGCGTCCCACTCACAGTCCTGCAGGTTGAAGTCGTTGGGAGCTCGCGACGACCACAGGCGCATGGTGTTTACCGTGTTGTTGCCGTAGCCCGGCACCGGTGTGTCATAGGGCATGGCAAGGACGACCTGCGGGGAGGTTGGAAATCAATGAGACTGACGGACGACCGTATGGATGGATGGGTGGATCGACAAACGGATTGGCGGACGGAAGGACGGGCAAACATGAAAAGGGAAATGAATAAAGAGGATTCATATACGCACTCGTGCGCACGCACGTCCACGCACACACACACACACGGCATTCCCACTAAACTACTGTCGACGATGACCATTTCCATTGATGTATCGAATCGATATCTGCTATACGATTGCAAAATTAAACAAACTTGTGCAGTTGCTCTTCATACACAGAGCAAAAGGACGAGTTCACTCACGTGAACAAAGATTGAACGACTCACATCAGATAGAGGACCAGAGTTTACGAGAGAATACGGAATGCATCGCGGAGGACTGGACAACAACAACGTTGACTGCCATTGTCGTTGGGCTTCTCACAAACTTTGTTTGTCGGGTTTCAATTCATCAGAAAAATACTTCATTGGAAGCAGGCCCTGCACGGGTTCCAGGAAAATACCTTTTTAAAACCATTATTTACCTTCCTTTTTTTCCCTCGACCCATGACTGACTGCCTCTGCTCTCTCTCTGTGTAAAAATACTTCTCGAGATGCAGTGGCATTTAGGCACTGTATAACTCCAAATAGCATTACAACGGATCATTAAACTATTTTTATTTTACCAGGTAAGGCCCACAAATGACAGCTCAACGAAGTGGCGTATCATGTGGAGATTTATAGCAGCCAAATACTCTAAAGACAGGTTTCTATATGTAAGGGGGAAAAACCGGAGGACCCGGAGAAAAATCCACACGACCACGGGGACAAGCAAACCTCAAATATTCAGGCATCGGGGTCAAGAACGAACCCACAACCTCCTGTATACCAGGCGAGGTAGTTAACATCTTGCCATCTTGCACCCAAGAGGGTCCTGCCAAGTTAACGCAGCAAAATTGGGCGATGATGGCTATGTGTACTCTAATCTCAATTGAGTAAAATGGAGGTGCGATTATTACATTTTTTGGAAAACTCGGACCGTGAAGCCTGCAACGCAATAGCCTATACTTGCAAATGACATTCATTGGATATTTAGCATCCACTGTGAAGCAGACGGCACTGGAAATTATTACGGTTATTTAACTTTCAGTTTAACACGTCGTAGGCTTTTGCGACCAATATTATTCATAAGAGGTTTTGGGTTAGATCGCGTCAGTATAAATGCCCAATTACATCCAGCATCATCGAGCAAATCGCCCGATGATGCTGGATGTAATTACCAGCGAAATATGGCATTCAAATTGTAAATATTGTCGATTTACTCTCCAGCACACCGGTGGGCTGAAGTAGTAACTAATTGGCGCGTTGTTTACGTGACAAACCTTACTGGCTGTGTTGGGTGGTGGAGGGGCACGGCAAAAAATCTTCATTATTAACAATCAGTTTTAACCAGGGCAGCCTGCCGGATTCGAACCGGCAAACGCGTTGCCGCTGCGCCGCGTCACGTGCCGACTTGTTTGCGTGCCTCTTCCTGCTATTGCGGAAGCACAACTCAGCGGAAACGCCGCAAGTTACCGTGCGAGTGGGTGAGAAATCTGCACGCGCGTTGAACTGAAAGTGGGCCTTCGTGGATTTCTGGGCACATGAGGAAGCATGCTGGCGTCAGTCGGCGGGCGAAGAATACGCATCCAAATTACGTGTTTTTAGTTTAAATATTGGTAACGGTTAAGGGAATGAAATACGTCCACCAAGGAGATGGAGCAATGAACTCCGCGAGACGTGGCAGCGGCCTTCGAGAGGCCTCATCCAGCAGTGGATTGACCATGCCGGGTGATAATGACGAAGAATGCACGGCCCTGGTCAGTGGGGGGATAGGCTAGGAGCATGGTACAGAATAACAGGGTTGACAACGCGGCACTGCAGCAACCTAAAACACCAGCTTTTTTTGTTTGTCTAATGCACGGTGGTCACCCGTTCAAGGACGAACTCGGCTTAACCACGCTTAAGCTTCCAAGATCTGTTGAGAATGGGCTCATTTCGGTTGATTTGGTCATCCGTGATGCACAACGTATACGCATTTACAATTACCAAATATAAATAAAGCACAAGCAGATCCACCATCCACGTGGCCTCCTTCTAGATTTGAAGTTTTCGTGACTGCAATGATCCATACTCTTTGGTTCTTTCGGTAAAGTCACGTAGGTAAAAAATAAAGTCAATCAAATCACGACGTTTCAGAGGCAACACAAGCTTCCGTCATCAGTAATTTTGCTGATGACGGAAGCTTGTGTCGCCTCCAAAACGTCGTGATTTGATTAACTTTATTTTTTACCTACGTGACTTTACCGAAAGAACCAAAGAGTGTGGTCTCCTTCTCCCTAGGATTGTCTCTCGTATTACAAACACCCAAACAAACCTGCATCTACTCTATTTCCTCCCCCATCATGCAAACATCCCACGGCATTGAGCAGCCTCTTGAGCATGCAGCCACACTATAAATCCAAAATTGTAACTGTCCTTCACATTTTGTGGGAGAAAATTGCCAATTACACCGAGCATTTGATAATGACTGCTGCGGCTTCCGGACACTATTCTACAATAATAATACTAGGAAAGCCTCACTCAAGCGTTTCCACTGAGTAGTAGAGAGAAATAGCTTGGCTTATTCAAATCAAAGTCAGTTGTCGACCATTTTTCAATACCGATTGTTGCTTTTTTTTCGGAGCCACCACCGGCATTGTATATAAGTGATTAATGCTTTGTTTTACAGGAGAACATTGGTTATAACTGTCTTTGATTGGATGGAATCCATCATGCGCAGCTTACATTGCGTTAAAAAACGTTCAACTGCGTCAGAAATGCACGTTTTTTGTACAAAATTCGCAAAGTAATTGACAATTTTCTTCACACAGCACAGTTAAAATTTGGATTTATAGAGCATCTGCATTCAACCCCATCCCAAGGTGCTGCACAAAAAAACACAGCGAGTCAAGTGCATCGCAGGGACCGAGTAGGGGTCCACTGCACGTATGTCCTGGACAAGGCCGAGCGGTAGCGCATTTGACGCCTGTTGCGGAGGCTCGCGGTTTGAACCCTGCAGGCTGCCCCTGGTTGTTACTCTGATGTGGTATTAACCATAAAATACTAAGTGCAATCGGCTTCACTGAGTATGTTAAAGATCCTCGGACTTCATTCGAAAAGAGCACGCCGTTGTGTACCGGTGTCACAGTCGAAATGAGCCGAATTTGGAGAATTACTCACAAAATGACTTAATTGGGAAAGGCATGGCAATTTCCGCTCCCGACTGGCAGATTAATGCACAGGCCGGTGCCGAATCATCTTGTGCTGCACAGGGACAGCTGCCACTGGGGCAGGGGGTCCCCTTCAAGGTGCTTTGAGTTGCTGAGACATGCAAGTGCCATATATAAATGCAAATATAATTTTTTGGAAGCAACATACTGTATGTCAGCCTGACAGATGTTCCAAAATATGTTGATGCAAAAAAGAAAAGCAATTATTCTAAGAAAAACAATAATTTGAAACCGACACAAAAAATTATTTAACGGGACATTTGGTTAATTCCATTAATGAGTGCAATTGGCCAAACATTATGGCACCGAATGGCCAAACAGGGCTTTTGTGAGAATGGTCACGGCAGCTTTGGCCCCGTGATCGAATCAAGCGATAAAAGAGCCCTTGCCCGTGACATCTCATTACACATCCTTTAACATGAACGCTGCTGGCCACGTGCAAAATTCATGTTGGGTTTATCAAGTCGAAATGAACGCCCAGGGGTGAGCGTCCGTCACTATGAATGGAATTACTTTATATGGTGTGCCCAAAAAGGTAAAAGGTGCAGCCCCATAAAATTCATTGCTCATGCCACTTGGGAAGAGGTGGGAGCACCCACACTTTACTTCACCATGCGCGTGACCTACTGATTGTCTCCGCTGCGGTGTTTAACCGATTTATACCGTTGGGTGGACGGAGGTGGCGGCGGTGGTGGTGGAGTGGCAGGGGCGAATTTAAGAAACTTGCTCCAATGTTTCAGAACTGCCTTGCCAGCGGTTGTGTAGCTTCCACAACCCGCAGGTCACACACAAGCCATCACTGCCACATTACGGATTCCTGTACAATCGGTGTGCAATAATTCACATCTGTCACCAGGGATTCGGTGACAAGGCACAGTTCAAGGGTCACGATTGATTAAGGAAGTCATTCCTTTTATTATTTTTTTCCTACTTTTGCTGTCTCATTTCTGTTAATTCTCACGTGCTATGTCTGGTTGGTACAGCTTTGCTTCACTATATTAGCCTATATGGCTAATTGTAACATTGACGTATCAATCAAGCTGATATAATTGATTCTAGCATGTATGGCGAGCGAAACGATCAATCTAAATCAAGGAATCAATGCACTATTGCATGTCTACATACATCAGTTGTAAATTATTCTTAATAGTTACAGTTCATGGGTACAACAGAGCATTGACTGTTTTATCAATAATTCAGTAACTTAGTTCGTCCGATTTCCATTTGAGTAAAACTAGATTTTCATTGGACAAACCTTATTGTATCTACACGAGCTATTTCTCTGTATTTCCACGGTTTTGGCCAAGAAATGATAAAACACTAATAATTCTGCAGCCCTTTTTCAATCGACTGCTGGAATAAAAGCCTCACCACACTGTCAGCCCTGGTGGTCACTTGACCATACCTCACCTTGCTTGTCCAACGCAGACTGGCAAAGTGTGCAGCCCGGAGACCGGTTCAGATATCACTCACTGCTGATGTTCGCGGCGGCCCGGGAATCGAAGTCAAGGTCAATGGGTCACCTCCCAGTGCACAAACCTGTGCCACTGCTCTTTCCCGCCCCCCCCCCCCCCCCCCCCAGAGTCAGATGCCATTATTCCCAAATTGCCACAAAACGTTCCAATTGAAGCGGGCGGTAAAAATCTAAACGGGTCGCGAGAAAAAAAAGGGGATTAAGGCAACTCTTGGCAGAGACAGTAAATTG